TTCTGGGGATGTGTCACGAGTGCAAATGTAAAAAATAAAACTGAGATTGAAGGCAATTTAGAAAACACTCAATACACGGAGATTCTTGATGATGCATACTCTCGATCCATCCGATATTATCATGGCCAACTCCCAGACTTTACACTGGCGATGGACAACTGTCCAATTCATAGAGCAACAAATGTCACCAGCCACTTGAGAAGGAAGAGGATACCCACCCTATTCATTCCCCCATATTCACCAGACATCAACATTATAGAGAATCTTTGGGCGATCTTGAAGAAGAGAGTCAAGAGAGAGCTGGCAAAGAACCCTGGAGTGGTCCTTTCCGACCTTGCCAATGAACAATGGGAGCTAATGGATGACAGCATTGTTGAGAACCTATACGCCTCCTTGCCACAACGAATGGAGGACATTATAACAGCGAATGGATGGTGGACCAAATATTGACAACCTCCTTTGTCATTATTCTAGTGTCCTTGGCATGACGGTAAACTGCAGCACTTACTTTGAAAGTCAAGCTTCCCTGACCCGAACTAGACCTCAAGTTGGAGTCCAAATTCGAAAGTGCGAAATCACAAGACAACACCAACTATCACTCCCCACAAAAATGCCCTAGGGTCGAAGTGAAAACATATCGAAAATGCAAATGCAATAAATCGAGAAGCCAGGAGTGTATATGCTCCTGTGTGAAATATAAAAAAAAAGTCATTATTCTAGTTCATCGTTCCGATACCTTCGATCAATTTTCGTTGCATAAATAATGGCCATGTTCACTACTTATCATTTCAACACTCTCATTCAATTATTTGTAAATAAATATAACTAGCAATAAGTAATTCAATCAAGATTAGTAGATAATTGAGTCTATTATTTAGAGAGATAAGATATCATTTGGTATCTCTTAATATTGAAGAGATATCAATCACCTATCTGTTTGCTCAGGGGGTGGCCATAACTTATGAAACGTACTGTACATGAGGATGGAGGCACTAGTCACACCCACAAACCTGTTGTTAACTCTATGTGAATCCAATTTTTTTGTTCCAAGTCGATGAAGGTACTATGGAGATGTGTGAGGGGGAGGGAGGTTAACTTTAGGAAAAAATCAACTTGGGTATACAACTGCAATACAACATCGACTACACCAAACTATTCCCAGCTATCAACATGGTCAAACACAAACGTGCACACAACACCATATTCAGATATTCAGCCAAGCTCCTACCACTCATCAAACCTCCACCCGCATGCCCAGCCTGCGGCGTCCGTAACATCCTCACATCGTCTCACATCTTCTTTGACTGCCCCGTCCTTGTCAATCGCAACGCTGATGGACTTCAATTCGCTGCCACCACCTTGAGCATCAACATGCCTCAATGGTCTCCATCCATCCTCGCCCAATACGACTGCAAACTCTCAATCCTGCGCATCAACCTCGTCGCAATCACCATGCATCAGATATGGCTCGACTTCTGCCACTGGAAACACCAAAGTAACCAAAGGCACTCCTCTCTTCATACAATCAACATCATCACCCAAGACATCATTCGGACAGAAAGTACCATTCTCCACAGCAAACTCCAACTTCAAGTTGCTAAACTCAGATCACAATCAGCTCCAACTGAACAAATATCGTCCCTCCTCACCAAAGCAACTATCAAACACCTGGACAAATGGAACTCCATAATCGACACTGAATATCTCGCCATGTAAACAACCAACACCAATAAACAAGTAGCCTAGAGTGTATATGCTCTTTGTAATTAAAAAAAAAAAAAATATCATCTTTCTAAACAGTGGATGGTCAACTGTTGTGAAAGGCAGATCTGTGCTGTTCATCCAAGCGAATATTGCTTGCCTGTTTGATTGATTGTTTAAATAATTAATTAGCAATGATTGATAGTAGTAAGAAATGTCAACATACTTAAATGGTGTTGTCTTAATTGTCATTATGGTGTCTGTCAACAACAGCAAATCTTGGTTGGATTGTGTGGCGCATCGGTGGTGATTGCCAGTATTGGTCTCAGAGTTGCAATAGGTGTACTTGAATTGGCAACTCTCGCACGCTGACTTCCTGTCACTCTTGCTATACTCGAGAACATAAAATCTTTTCCACATCTCGGCTGTGTTCTTCCGCACCTTGGGTTTGTAGATGATCAATGTCCTGCATGTACCATCTCTGTATAAGTCTCGCCCTTCTTTATCTTTAAGTCCTGTTGCAATGAGCTGGTGATTGGATAATAACTCATCATCTGAGTCAGACATGTTGTTGATGGTTGTTTGAATCGTTATTGTGTGACTGTTGACCTTGTTTGTTGGGTTGTGTTGCCAGTGAGTTCGATCAACCTTGGCAAGTCAAAAAAAAAAACAGAAAATTCAAGTGAGAAGTTCAAGATTCGAGACTTGAAAAAAAAAAAAGTTCACCTTGAACTTGAACTTGAAGTTCACTCTTGAATTTTAATTCAAGTTCAAGACCGCACTTTACCAGTGAGTTGCCAGTGAGTTGCCGATGAGTTTACAATAAAAAATTTTAAATGAAGAAGTTGAATGATACTGGATCCTTTGTTAAAATTTGTGTGCTAGACTACTAAAAATAATCTTTGGAACTATCCCTTTCAATAGCGTAAACTAGTTACACCAAATAATATATCAGAGTAATATTTTCAATTTAATAYGAGTTATTTTATTAAAATTGATATTTGATCAAAAATSCCAATWCATGGAGATTTTACGAAGATTTGAAAGTGATGAAATTGTATTCTGGGATTATTCCCTTCAATAGCGTACTCAAGGTACATGTAATAACTTATCTCAGTATTWTTTGAATGTTATACAAGTTTTCTTGTTAATTCTGGACAAATTTTAAAAACAATTGCCAAATTGAATCACAACACATATTAAACTATGGGACTATGCCATCAATTGGCGTACGCTAGGTACACCATGTTGTAWGTTAAAATAATTTTCCAAWTTTAATCGGTTTTAGTTTGATTATTATAGATTTACCCAAWTAAGACTAACAAGTTAGAYGCGAGTCCATTAACAAATATCCAATAAGGGCTCTCATATTGAATAGAATAGTCTAAACCTCAAATCTAATATTTAAAAATAATATTTTCAATTTTATAAAGTTATTTTTCTTCAAGAGAAAGTTTGTATGGGATGGAAGTTCGAACACATATACTTTTTCAAAAGTTACAACTCATAGATACATAGATCCCGCCAACAATACGACTATCATATATACCTACCATAATCATTTAACATTATTATCATACTTTACACTGGTCTAAACATCATATTGGAAAAAACAAATAAATATTAATAAACAATAATTAATTTTAATCAAAATTTCACAGTTGTTTGAATCACATTGACAATGACCCAATAGACAAGTCATTAACAACTATGATACATATAACATTAGTACAAATACATACAGACAGTGAATCATTTGATTAAACAATAACATTGAAGCTTATACACCAACATCATCCACTTCATGACATCCAGATTTACAACAACAACAACAGATGAAGGTCGATCTATYAACTCCTAACAACGTCACTCAACACCTCAACATAATACATCTTGTTACTCCTCATATCAATGCGAATCGATCAAGATATCAATCATCATCATTGAACAACATCACACCTGATATCATGAATGCCTTTCGAATGCGATGACGCACCAACAATGTTCAACACATACGTTTGATACACCAACAGATTCAGTACATCTACAGGAATCGATCATATATATAATATGTGACTGTTGAACCTATTCTTACAAAGTACAGCTTGCAGAAGAGACATCATTTCCCTTTACACGCCAAGAGTCGCACTCCAACTGCCACCAACGTCTCGATAACACCTACAATTGACATACCAACAGACTCAACGCATCAAGGTGAATCGATAGATATATTGTACATCACTACTGAAGCTATTCTTTAGCAACACATTCAACAACAGCCAGGATACGCTCACATTGTTGCWTCAACTACGATCGTCGCACTCCATTGATCACCAACATCGTCCAACAAACACCTATGACACATCATCAGACTCGACTCATCAATATGAAGCTATACATACTATATTCATCGTCGTTGGAGCAATCTACATCAACTTGTAGAATCGACATTCAACTACACAGGTAACAACCAAAACCTTGGGCAGATCGTCGCACTTCTACTTCTAATACCAATCAAGATTGTAATACTCAACACATCAAGATGAAGCGATCAATATATTACTAATCACTGTTGAAGTGATTCATAGGAATTAACGACGACCATTTACAGCTCACTTGGATCGTCGCACACCAACCAAGGACCTACATCATCCAACAACTCATATGATACTCAAACAGACTCGATCATCAAGATGAAGGGATATATACACATTCATTGCCGTTCACCGTAATCTATATCAACGTAGATCATCAACTAACTGCCTTGATCGATCTCATCAGCGTCGTCTTGCCATCTACCATGCGATGGAAGTTGAGAACAACACAAAAGAGTGTTGACCTCCCTCCTCCAAGTCTACATCCCACTCCTCCACCAACAACACCTTGACTTTTGTTGCGCCTGCAGACCCGACTGAAGATGACAAGGAGATGCGTGACGAGATCCTGCATTATATGACAAGGAAAGGACAAGCTTCCACGGACCGGAGAAGTGCCAAGACACACCATCATTGACCAATCAGATTGGCGAGCACAACCAAGCCCGACAAGGACCTCTACTGCATATTCAGCATTCCAGCCAACCCATTTGGCTGACACCAAACATCTATAGTCTTAAGCACCCTCTCTTCTTTTAGTACGTGAGTATCGAGTAGCATATATGACCAAGGAATCATACCTTTCACTCTTGTCACTCATACTAACTCAACCTTCCACTTCATCTGTAGCGATGGTCATGTTTTCACAACACTGATGTCAAGGCGGTCCAGGCCCTTCTGCCAATCAAGGAGGATAATGCGACCTGTACGATTTAGACAACCCACACAGTCAACTCTCTGATCCTTGTGTTCAAAACACTCAGCCAAAGAACAAGGTACCAGAGCCGCTCATACTCATGCTACACACTACCACTTGGGATCAACCTGTTTCGACTACAATGTGCCAGCTATATTCCTCGTCTCCCTCGGCTACTCCATCACCCAAATCAATTAAATTTGTCTGGAAAGGTCTATGTGTCAACGTACTATCCACAAAGTCATCTACACACAGCACTGCTCAAGACAAAGTCTCTGGTTATGTCTCACACTGGTTGGGCTCGTCATGGCTGTCGGGCTCTGTGGCCAGAATCAGTGTCAAGGAGAAGGAGCAGGACGACGACATGGCTCAACAACAACATAAAGGATGCCTTGGACAACTCAAGCATGTAGGTGTACGTCAGCGAGCTGTGGAAGTACGAGCAGCCCGACCTATGCGAGAGACTATATTGGAACAACATGATACTATGAAGCCACACTACCGATAATCACACCCCAACTGCTGACCAACAGTGATACATTACAGACCAACAAGCTCAACTCATCGAGATGAATCGATCTTTCAAACATTCATTTTCTCTGGCTAATCTAATTGTACTTGAATCAAAGATGTCACAATCCGACCAAAGACCAACAACATCATCTATTATTAAAGATATACCTTCTTGGGAGCAAGTAGCATTTATTAATTGAAAGAGAAGACGTTTCAGAAAAGGAGTGGAATGACACAAAGGAGGGCAACGAACACCATTGGTGGGGAAATCTTGAAAGAACCACTGAGGCCAGTAGTGGTTGTTGTGCTTGTTGTGCTGGTGGTAGTAGTTGCTGGAGCTGAAGTGGAGATCTCGGTAGACTTTCCAGTAGATGTGGTAGTATCGGTTGTCTGACCTGTAGTAGTGGTACTGGTCGTCTTTCCTGTAGTGATGTCGGTAGTCTGACCAGTTGATGTGGTGCCTGATGCACTAATCGTGGTTATAGTTGGAACTACAGTGGTGATCGAGGTGGTTGTAGTTGGTGGGGAAGTAGTAGTGGTCGATAAGTCTGTCGTCGTTGTTGTTTGGACAGAGGTTGTGCCTGTGGTTGGAGTCACTGTTGTAGTTGTAGATGTTGGCCCATCAGTTGTGGTCGTGCCAGAGTTGCAGTTTGTAGAGATATTAGGCATCTTGTAGGCAACAAAAATAGGGTCAAAAACCAGAGTTTTGGAGAAGGCTGGAGCAACGATAGCATATCTTGATACTGTAGAACCATTGATTGCAGGCATTAAGGTGTCTTGGACGGTTTGGATTTGGAAGAGCTTTTCATCACAATATGCACGATCAGAGAAGTGGACCAACATAAATCCAGCTGGAGAGCCCAAGGTGAAGGACAAAGGCATATTAGGATTGTCAAAGTGAATGACTGATGTAGAGGCTGTGGAGCAGTTATAGTTGAAAGAGGCTGGTGCCTGAGACTCGTAGATGACTCTTAAGAAGTTGTCATCAGAACTAAAGGACCATCCAGATACCATGACAGTATGTTTGACTCCTCCCTCGGGAACCGGAATCGTTTCTCCAGCAAACTTAACTAGAGAGGCTTGGTTGTAGAAATCAGTCTTGACCTGAACAGTTACACCATTAACAACGGTGATGTAGGTGGAGGGAGCTGATTCAGTCCATTGTACACCGATAAGTGTGACAGTAGAGCCAACCTGAGTGGTGGTGGTGTCATACTCTTGGATGTAGGCAATTTGGGAAGTGAAGGTGACCAAGGAGGCAACAGAGAAAGTGACCTTGGAGGGTTCAATGGATGGTTGTACAAAAGTGTCGACCATATCTGAACAAGTTGGTCCGGATAATCCGCTCGGGCAAATACAGTATCCCTCTTGACAAGTTCCAGCACCACATTGAGATTGACAGTCATACCTGCTGTAGAGGAACACGTTTGCTGTGGTTCCTATTTGGTCATTAGTGACAGTCACTGGCAGCGCCTCGGAGATTGCTATAGCTGAGGATCCACCAGATGGAAGAGAACAGACGATGGTGGTGGTTGTTCCTTGGTGGTCCGCATTTGCACAGGTCAACATCCCAACAGTTACGGTCAATGGTGAAACAAAGTGAGATCCAGTGATAGTAATCACTCCTCCATCGGGAGCAACCGAGGTAGCATAGGTGACAACGGGTGGGAGTGAAGAGTAGGTACCTAATGTGGAGGAAATCTTGTTGTCGATCGAGACATTGATTGCTCCCTCAAATATTGACTGGACTCCAAGTGCACATGTCAGTGAAGATCCATCTTGGGCTGCTGATTTGAAGGCACAGTTCATTGATCCAAGAGTAATAACAATATTGGTGGCAGTAGAGTTGGCAGATTGAGTATTGAGGTATGATCCATGTATCACAACATCACCTCCATCTGCGTAGACAGCAGCCAAGTTAGAGACAATAGGAGAGACCACAAAGATATTTGAGACAGATTGATGACCAACTACAATGGTGATGATCTGTGATTGGTAGGAGGTTGGGAGCAAGAAAACAACGGAGGTATGGGAAGCGGAGACAACTGACATTCCTATTGGGGCAGAGATGTCATCTTTGGAGTTTCCAAAGTTGTCCCCAAACACTGTGATAGTTTGCTGGTTCTGATCGATTTGGCCATTCATTGATGGTGGCAAGTAGCTGAAGTTCTGGATCGAAGAAGAGTAGGATCCAATCGTGATCTTGACCTCAAAGTTGATTCCAACACCTGGTGGGGCTTGAACGTACTTCCTGTCAGTTTGAGTGTCTGCAGTTACTGGGCAAGGTTGGCCGTTGATAGTGACAATGAGTGTTGTTGGTGTGTTGTCAGCGTTGTAAGAGTTCAAGTAGCTTCCAGAGATTGTGACCTCTGATCCAAAGGTACGGGATTGAGTTACATCGTTGAGGACCGGGTGGAGTGGCGTCAAGTACTTCAATTCAGTTCCGTCAACATTGACATAGACAAAATCAGCAAGGGCGTTGGTTGGTGCATTAAAGTAGATTGTGGTGTTGTCGGCAGAGGTTGTGTAGCTATTGATCTGTACGGAGCCATAGGAAACAGTGGTGGTTACTCCAGCAGCAATCAGATTGGTACCAATCACTGAGATCCTGTTGTTGGAATCCACTTGGACACCATCTATTGTTGGAAGTCCGTAGACAAATGGTGTGTCTACGAACTTACTGTCAATCGTGAAGCGGAGAGTCTTGGAACCTGTGCCAGATGGGACATCACAGACAAAGCGTGCTTGGTTGCTGATATCGGGAATCTTGGAAACTCCAGTACAGGGTGTGTTTGGCAACAAGATTATCGAATTGGAGGTAGCAGAGTTGTTCTGACGGAGATTGTTGAGGAAGTATCCAGTGATAGTGATTTGATCACCAGAGATGGGTGCTGAAGTAACAGAGTTGATTATTGGTGTCAAGTCGAATGGGATTGTTGAAACTGTTTGTTGGGTGTCGACAACAACATAAACAACTCCGTTAAGTGCATCCTTGGGGATGTTAACAAAGAGTTGGTTATCAACAATTGAGTTGGGGAAACCAGATCCAACATTTCCAAATAACACTTGGACTTTGCTGGAATCAGTTCCAAAGTTGGTACCAGAAATTGTGATTGCTTTGGCATTCTGGACTGCAGATGTAATAGATGGGACTTGGTAGTTGAACAATGCTGGGGCAGAACTTTCAGAGCCGATTGACACAATGATGTTGTGATTGATTCCTGTTCCAGCTGGGGCTGTGCAAGTAATGATAGATCCCGTGGTGCCTACAAAGGCTGGGGTAGAGCAAGGAAGATTGTTGTCAATTGTGAAGACTGGGTTTCGAGTGTCACCATTGAAGCTGGTGGAGAACATGAAGGTTCCTGTGATAGAGATTAGACCTCCGATGGCGGGTGGCTGGCCAACTGTGGATACCAATGGGATAAGGTTAAGGTAGATGTTGTTGGATGGTTGAGTACCAACAACTACATGGACATCGTCACTCTTGGAAGAGGATGGAAGAGTGGCTACAAATTGAGTGTATTGGGCAGTGAAACTGGTGGCTTGGATGATGGCTCCGTTGATGACAATATTGATTGAGGTAGTTTGTTGACCAAAGTTACTTCCTGTCACTGTGATTTGCGTGGTCTTTGGGTTCTGGACAACCGTCGTTATCGATGGGGCAAGGTAGCCGAACTGTCCCGAGGTGGACATTAGACCAACGTTGATCTTGAGTGAGTTACTAACTCCTACTCCAGCTGGGGCGGAACAGGTGATTTGAGTGTTGCCAGTTGTAAGAAGACCTGAGCATGATATGCCACCAATCAAGACTGATGGGTTTAGAGGGTTGTTATCAGAGTCCACCATGTTGAAGAACTTTCCTATGATGACAAGTTGGCCACCATCAGTAGGGATGGGGCCAGCACCAGAGAAGACTGGTGTTACAGCGAAAGTTACTGAATTCGATTGGATTCCATCAACAATGACCTTTAACTGTCCGTTTGTAGAGGATGCAGGTAGGGTGGCGGTAATAGACTTGTCAGATACTGAGGAAGGAGCAAAGGTCAAGGAACCAAGGGTAACTAAGACTTTGTTGGTAGTGCCAAAGTTAGTTCCTGTGATTACGATACTATCTCCAGTCTGGGCGATTGGGGTGGCCACGGTTGGGGTTGGCGCTGAGAAGGTAAAAGTATTGGAGGAAACCCCATCTATTTTGACCACAACTGAAAGAGCTCCAGTAAGTGCTGGTGCAGTACACTTGAGAGACGAGGGATCTGGGTTGGAGGGAACTGTACATGGTATGGAACCAATCATTACTGAAACATCTGCAAGGGTAGAGTTCGCTCTGGTGATCGAGAGGAAGTAACCAGAGAGGACTATGCTAGAGACAACACCAGTTGACACACCTGAAACAGCCGAGACAGTGGGAGTGTATGCCATGTAGACCGAGTTACTGGACTTGGAGCCGACTGTTGTAAAGAGTGGACAGTTCTTATTTGTAGTTGGGATTCTGGTAGAGTAGGTTTGGGGATCAGAGTCGGTTGTCAAGGAGGCTGTGTTGGAGATCACAGGGATTGACAGAACCATGTTACTAAGGAGGACACCAAGACCAGTTCCAGTGATTGTCAAAAGGTCTCCATTATTGGTTGCCGTTAGGATAACTGGTGATTGGTAGGCATAGGTAAAAGTTGTGGATTGGGTTCCAACCTTTAAGGTAAAGGTCTCAGATCCGATGCCACCTGGGAAGGCACAATCGAGTTGTATATGGGCAATCTTAACTGTGCATGTAACTGATACAGTGGTCGCAGCTCGTGAAATGGTTGCGATGATACTTGATGGATCAGAACCGAAATTGGTACCATTCACCAAAACGTTGGCACCGATTGAGGTAATGGATGGTAGGATGGATGTGATTCTTGGTGGGTTGTAGGAGATCTTTAAGTTGGTGAAGGAGTAGGATTCAATGTTGACGGTGATGGGGATGGCGACACCTATGCCAGGTGGAATGATGAGAGAGAGTCCGGTCTTGCTGGTCTGTGAGATGTTTGGGAAGGAGTAGGTGACGGTGTTCATAACGAAAGAACGCTGTGTGAACCTGAATCCAACAGATCCACCGGTAGTGAAAGCAACCGAACCTCCAGATGTATCGACGGTAAGAGTCACATCGGCATTCTGTGTTGGTTTGAAGCCTCCGTAGTAAACAATCTCTCCTCCTCTATCGGGGTTGTCTCCACAATACTGGTAACCTGCACCAGTGGCACTATTATAACCAAACATAATAAAGTTATATTTCCAGTCTACAACATCACCTGGACAGTAGACAACAGCTGGAAGACACTTGGCCGGGGAGGACTCACTCCAGGGAGAGTAAGCAATTGCACCGTTATTCGGGCCACCCAAGTCGACGATGGGTATGTTGCCGTTAGTACCAGAGAGGTCAAGTCCCTGGGTAGCATTCTTCTTGCCAAAGTTGTAGGTATTGAGGAGCATATTGGCCTGTGTAGCGCTCCTTACAACACCTAGATAAGGTATGTTACCATCGATGTTGGTTGTCAGGATTGCTTGGGTCCATGCTGTGATTTCATTGAGGAAGGCAACACAATCAACGCAGATACGAATCACAGTCATAGTGTTAAAGTCATCTAATAATTGGTATTGGATTGAGGATTGATTAGTCTAGGCTCCTTTATGAGATCATAATCGAATAGTACACTTACAGAAAGGGATATTGTTTCGGTGAGAAGCAACAAAGTTGTTTGAACCATATCCTATAGTTATAGGGAGGAGGGATACGGTGGCGGTAGTGCTGGCGGCAATCTTGCAGGTCACAGTTTTGTAGTTCTCGACTACAGCCAGACCGGTACAGGGGACACCAACTACAGAGATGGACAAGTCTGTAGAGGTGGTTCCAAAGTTTCCTCCAGTAATGGTAATTGGGGAACCTACAACGTAGGCTCTAGCATAGAAAGTGGTGATGTATGGCACTGTTGAGAGATAGAAAGAGTGGACAGAAGTATTAAATAGTGATACCTAGGAGTAGAACTGAACAGATACATACATTGATAGTGGACATTTTGAGAATATTGTCTCTTGAGACCGTCATTAAAAGTCATGGTGAATCTATTGTATCCTGGTGGAATGGTGACGGTGATGGTAGAGGTACCACGGTTGACGATGGTAGCAGTAGTGGAACTTCCAGCACTATCGACCAGAGATACAGTAATCGTAGCCATGTTCCAAACAAAGGTAGAGCTCTCGTCGGCAACAAAGTTGGTGACAACAATATCGCCTCCAGTAGTTGGGGGCATTGGAATCACCGGGTCGGTACTTCCACCCCATTCGATCAAGAAGTATTGTCCAGAGGTGAATTGCTTTTGTTGGAACACAACCTTGCTGTTGACATAGTTAAACGTGAGATATTGAATATCTACTGAATTGTCAAATGGGTATCCAGAGTCCCAAGGGCAAACGGTGTGACAACGACCCAGTGGACGGTGAGTGTAAATTGGATTGTTGTTCAAGGGACCGGAATTGTATTGGTAGGTTGTAACTCCGTTAGTGGTTGACAATGTACCCGAGATATAGTAGGTGAATCCAGAAGAGAGGGTAGTGAGAGTAGGCTGGGAACTGATAAAGGCTAATTCCTCTGGTGAGTCAATGGTAGCCAAGTATCTAAATTGAAAATGTATTTAGAGTGTGAGATATTGGATATAATAGTGGAAGATTGTTAGAATAAGTTAAATATATATTCTTTAGAACTACTGAAAGGAAATACTTACGGTTTGGTATTTGATGATGATTTGGCAATTGAATCAATACTGCTCATAGTAGCTAAGTAGGAGTTGGAAGTCATCTTTACCCATTGGTAATAATGCTTGGAGACAGGGTCTTGAACCTGGCCAATAATTCCAATGACCAGTAAGGACAAAAGAAGACCGATGACCTTGAGTCTCATCTTACAAAAAGTGAGGCAATAAACTTAGAGTGATATTAAATAATAATAAGGATAGATAGAAATATTATATGTATAAAAGATTAAGAGAGAGTTAATATGGAAAGGAATGAGAGGACTCTCCATTATAATCAAAATTATTTTGGATATTGTTCGAAACTAAAACCTTGAGTTAAACTACGACAGTACCGTGGCTGTTGGCCTTATAATAGAAGCAGAATCATTAAGAAGTGTTGATAGGATGTATCCTCCATTAATATCTATTATTCACTTCGGTGTCATTGGTAAAAGGCAGGCACTTATCAATGAAAGGCCACCACATCAATACAAATGGGTGCATTTTATTTACGAAATTGTAGAAACCGATCTAACTAGACCATCACCATCGTTTCATTGATCGCCATAATGAGCAAGGTTTTTACCTGGTTCTCAGGAGTACTCGAATCTATCTTTGCATGTTTTTTATCATTCACCGGCTTCCGAACCCGATCCTGTACAATAATATCTCTATCTTTTTTGTGATCCCCAGATCGATCATAAAATAATTTCTTTCTAAAGTTCTCCAACATCACAAAAACCTAAACTTCCACTACTACCTCGCCGTCTAATTATTATTAGTGAACATGGTCCTATGTCAATCCAATAAATTACATTGTTAATCACTTTGATAATAATAATTATCAAGACCTTTGTTTCTTTGTTTCTACACCACTCTCATCGCCTGAACGCCTCTTTCTATAACTTGCCACTAGAGTGTCTCTGTACTGCATTACACTCCTATCCACTGACTCCAGTTCGTTATTCTTTGATAGTAGAAGACGAGTTCTATACTCGTTGACCTCTTCATCTATTTGGCTATAATCGGTCTCGTGAAGGGATACTGTAGGTTCTTTCTTGGACTCTTCTTGAACAAACTTGTTGTAGAGCTTCAGACGAAGCTCAAGGTCATCCAAACTTCCTACTCTGACCAGTCCATTGAGCATGCACAACTTCACTAGGGAACTATGTCTTGTTCCTGGAGATTTTGATGTCTCCTCTGCTGTCAATGAAAGGGGGGCACCATCTATTTCCTCTTCCTTTGCTATCTCATCCTTGTATTTCTGTTGCAGTTCTGATGAATTGATGAGAGTAAACCTGAGACCTTGTATGAAGTGCCTCTGGAAGATTGATGAGTATTCCCAATGTAGGAGAACCTTGAGGATTTGATCCTTGAAGCTAAGAGCCGTCACACGACCTGAGATTCCTCGGAGTGTATCGCCTAAACCCTCAAAGAATCGTGGAAGTTGATTCTCAAACCTATATATATATATAAAATAAGGGAATGTTATTAAACTGTGTCTTTGTGTCTCTTGAAAGATTACCTACAATCCTCTGTATGAAGATACATTCTGTACTTTGGCAGTACAATTGGACAAGATGTCTGATATGAGATAGAGCTTTGATATCCTTGATCTATTGGACTGAACCTGATCGAATGTAGAGTTGATCACCATATCTACAATGTCATTGCTAAACTCTGAACATTCAATGGAGAATCCCATCGCCTCTTTGATCCTCTGCTTTGAAGTTGACATATGTCTCAACATGTCGGTGAATTGTGATCTATCAGTGAAGGATATTTCCTTGCGTTTCAAATCCTTGGTACCTGATCCAACTCTGTCTCTATCCTTGTCTCTATCTCTGCCTCTGTCTCTGTCTCTATCTCTATCTCTATCTCTATCTCTATCTCTATCTCTATCTCTATCTCTATCTCTATCTCTATCTCTATCTTTATCTCTATCTCTATCTCCTCTATCTCTTTCTCTGCCTCTGACTCTGTCTCTTCCTTTTTCTCCAACCCTATCGTCTCTACGTCCATCACTAATTCCATCTCTCTCTCCACCTTTGTTTCTCTCTCTGCTTCCACTCCTGATCGGGTCATGTCTGCCAAAATCAATGGTGCTCTCATTAGAAACAGACACCAATTGAATCTTCTCATCGATGCCATCTGGTGGAAGATAGATTGGACCTTCCTCAAGCACCTGCAGTGGTACTGATCGATACTTGGCAAACTCCTCCATCGATGTGAACACTCGCCAGCAGTAGTAGTGGTAGTCATCGCCTGAGCATTCAAACAGGAAACGATAGTTGGGATTGTCTTTCTCGCGTTGCATGACAGCACTCTCAAAATGATGACCTTGTCGTGAGACAAACGTTGCCAATCTCTCGATTAGACTCCTTGTCTGCATGTTGTGTGGTATTCTGATTCGGATCTGATTCGTCATTGGTGGTGTGTGATTCTGTTGTTGCTCCGATGGAGGCTGAGTACCAATCTGCTGCTGACTCTTTGCCCATTGTATCTTGACCTCTCTTCCATTGATTGTCTTGCCATCGAGGCTATGCTTAGCATCGCTTGCAGCCCTGTGCTCACTGTATGTGAGGATGGCGCAAGGTGGTTGTGTGCCCTTTGGAGGAAGTATCCTGATCATTGTGATGACTCCGAATTTTGAGAAGGATAGTTGCAAGTCCTCCTCTGTGACTTGCATTGACAACTGACGAATGAACAATGTAGTGAATGTTGAGTCGTCATATTCACCTTCTCTGTTCCTGTCTATAACTTTTTCTGTGTCTCTGCTTCGCCCTCCGTTTCTAACTCGATCACCATTCCTATCTCTTTCTCTATATCTATCATTATCTCTATCTTTATCTCTATCTCTATCTCTGTCCCTGTCTCTGTCTCTATCTCTTTCCCTTTCTCTTCCTCTATCTCTATATCTGTCTCTTTCTCTCTCCCTATCATCGATGGCCTGCTGCCTCTCCTTGTCCCTTTCTTTGTCTCTCTCCCTGTCCTGCTGATTCTGCTTGAACTCCTCCTTTAACTCATCGATCAACTTTGACCTTCCCTTTCTTATCAGAGGTGTTGGGGACGGTGGAGGAGAGTTCGACATTGAGAAAGAACCAATGTTTGATTGTTGTTGTTGTTGTTGTTGCTGCTGCTCTGTAGATCTTTCTTGTATGCCTCCATGCACATCAGTGTCATCGCTTTGGACAGAGGACAAGACATAAGTGCCTCCCTTGACAAAAGCAGGTTTCTTTCTCACCTGCTCCGTATCGAATGAGCTCATCCACTCCCTGTAAGCCTGAGCCGCCTCATCATTGTCTCGCTAACAATATATGATGGCCAATGTTAGAAGAATCGATTCACAACAATGTTTTTGTTGTTGTTATTAACATGTTGTTGCTGGTAGACCACGTACCTTCTTCCTTGCATCGGTTTGGTGTCTGTGTTGGTCCAGCAATGATACCTTGGTTGTGCCAGTCCTTATCTCGTGCAACTTTGTCTCTGATATGCTCTATAGTTCAGTAATCAAGAACATATGTTAGTTCCTCTCCTCTCACTACTACTACCAGTATGTTATGATATGCTGTCCTACCTGCATTGTGGATGGTGCAAGCTTGTCCTCTGATAATCCAAAAGGCATAGTGATGGGCACTCCATCAATGTCCTCATCGTCACCATACTTTCCATCCATAATTGATTGATATGTATGATCAGGATGTAATTATATATTATTTATGTTGTTCATTCATTCGCCTTGTGGTTGTGTTGACCAATTATGTAAAAAAGTTACCAAAGATTTACAAACTTTCGTAAAAAAAAACATATTTTTTGGACCCACACAGACGACTCAGAGGCAAAAGACTTGAAAGACAATGGAGGATCAATGGCATAGTTGTTTTGAAACGTCTGGTAAGTGGATGATCACATAATATAACACACACACACATATATATCTTTGTCAACATTGCATAGGTTCATACAGATTTATACAAGTTCATGCGAACTGTAGAACTTTCCTTTTGTCTTCTGATTTAGCAGCAAAGTCGATTTGATCGTATGGTTGTTGTTGTTGTTGTTGTTGTTATTGTTGTTGATGTTGTTGTGTATGCTCTCAGTATGGCGAATGAAAGCAACGACTACATCTTATAGATCAGATTCAATAGAACATTAATGACATTTCACCATCATCATTTATCTATCCTTTTGTTCAGCACACATCTCAACACTTCAAACAGAGATTCGATCAGCATCGCTAACAACTCTTACAATAACAATATCTAAATACAGGTCCCTATAGTATCTAAGCAACATGGTCTCACTTACTTTGCAAAAGAGATTAGCTGCCTCTATCCTCAAATGTGGAAAGGGTAGAGTCTGGATTGATCCAAATGAAATCTCTGAGATTTCAATGGCCAACTCAAGTATGTAGGAACGACAGACGACGACTACAAAGACGACGATAACAACAACAACATCAAACAACATCAAACAACAGCAGCAGCTTCACGACGACAAACAATCTTCTATTATTATTTTTTTTTGGGGAACACATCAGTTAACACAACATTAATCAAAACATTGTAGGAGACAACGTTCGCAGCCTCATCAAGAACGGTTTCATTATCCGTAAGCCAGAGGTTGTCCACTCTCGCTTCAGAGCCAGACAGCACCACGCTGCTAAGCTGTTGGGCCGTCACAGAGGTCATGGTAACCGTCTTGGAACCCGTGAGGCAAGAATGCCATCCAAGGTTCTCTGGGTTCGTCGCATCAGAGTCCTCAGAAGGTTGCTSAAGAAGTACCGTGAGGCCAAGAAGATCGACAGACAYGCCTAYCGTGAGCTCTACCTCAAGGCCAAGGGAAACATCTTCAAGAACAAGCGTACTTTGATCGAGTACATTGTCAGATCCAAGACTGAGAAGCTCAGAGAGAAGCAGATCAACGATCAGGCCCAGGCAAGACGTTTGAAGAACAGAAACCTCAAGGAGCGCAGAACCACCAAGGCACTGGCCAAGCATGTCTACTAAGCGACTTTTATATAAAGCAGCATTATTATTGATTGATTGATTGATTGACTGATTGATATCGTATAATTGATTGTTTATCACGATCATTGGAAAAGGCCTTTTCTTTTTCTTTGGACCCACCAACCCACCAGAGTCTAGACTCTGATTCAACACAATGGATAGGTTTTACAGCGTTTGTTTGTAGACAAAAACAGATAAAACAAAGTTATTATTACAATAGCATCACATTTATTATTATCACTGTGATGTCCAACTATCAATCAAGCTACCAATCAAAACCATTTTGGGAGCGAAACATGTATGCTTTCCGCTGTCAAGTAGAGTTTGTTGTTGACTGAGACCATTCTGACTTGTGAGCACCATAAACATAATTAGATATGATAGGAACAAGAGTGTGGAGTTTGCACCTCTAGTACCGCTACAGGGATACCAACAACACAATGACAACAACAACAACAACAACAACAGCAACAGAAGTACCTATTCAAAGTCAGAGCCAATGGTGACAAAGATATTCACTGCGATCTTGTTTATTGTTGCCATAGGACTGATTGTTGGAGGGCTATACCAGTACTTCTACTCGAAAGGCGATAGTTATATATTCCTATGGGTCGCAGGATCCATTGTGCTCATCGTTCTGGTTATTGCGATCATTGCTCGAAGACGCAGATAGAGAATCGTTATCAAGAAATTTGTACATTATTATATAAACCTTATCGACTCTATATCATCGCTAGCATTGGAGTTGTTGATTGTGCCACTGCCTACTGGTGTATTACTGTTGTCACAAACAGACAAGACAACAAGTTTTGGTTTGTCCAATCACAAACTCAACTCCTTTGATCAATATTGTTTATTATTGTGATCGAAGTTCAATCAGTTATTTTTATGATTAGATGTGTGGAATATATTCAACTGCTTTTTGGTCCACATCTGTATAATAAGGGGTTGGCCAATCAGTCATCTATTTATTACCATACATACTCATACATATACATATTTTAAACAAACAAATACATTACATTAGATATAGTCATGAAATCATTAGGAGTAGCATACTTATTGTGGTTCTTCTTTGGCTTTTTTGGTGTTCACCGTTTCTATCTTAGTAAGTAACCCAACAACAACAACCCAAATATTGCCTCAAGGAGTTTGTGATACTAACTGTTAACTCGCTGCTTCACCTCTTATAATGAACAACAGACAAGCCTTGCACCGGTGTCATCTACCTGTTTACTTTGGGTATCTTTGGTATTGGATGGTTGGTTGACATCTGTTTGATTCCAGGCATGGTGGAGCATGAGAACAACAAGGGAGGAGCTGTGCACACCAACACTGTCGTTGTAGTTCAGGGCTCTCCTGTTGTTGCCCAACCAGTTGTCGTCGGACAACCACATGTTGTCGTCGCTCACCCATACCCTGGACAGCCACAACCATACCCCGGACAGCCTCAACCATACCCTGGACAGCCACAACCATATCCAGGTCAGCCACAGCCATATCCAGGACAGCCACAACCATACCCTGGACAACCACAGCAATACCCTGGACAGCCACAACCATACCCTGAGCAACAATATCCAGGTCAGCCACAACAACCATACCCAGGACAGCCACAACAACCATACCCTGGACAACCACAACCATACCCCGAGCAGCAATACCCTGGACAGCACCCTGGATACCCAACTGCTCCTCCCCAGTAGTCAATAAACTATATTGGCAAAAGGGTTGTAATTACAACGACTCTCTTGGACAGTCCTTTAAATATGATCATAGATGTGGGTGACTATCTCTTTGACACCAGTCAAGAATGACTTCCAATGATGTGTAACTCGATCTCTATGACGTAAGGAGGTAAGTCCAAGGGCCTCAGGTGTGAACACATCAACCATTACAGCAAAGAACGTGTGCACCTCGCCGCTTGTCAGGTCAATGCGTTTCAGTGGATCTATGACCTTTTCGATGATGTCCTCAAACAGTTTCCTAAACTCCTTGCTGTCGGACAGATTGGAGCCAATCGCCAGAATGCCTTTGAGAACCGACTTGAATTTGCTCTCCAGTTGACGAATCTTCTCACTTGTCAGTGTAAGAAGATGTAGGTTGCTACTGCTTGATGTCGGCGTTGCAGAGATCTGCTGTTGGAAGATTGACGAGGGTAGAGGAGGCACCAAGGGAACCGCATTGGATGAATGACCTACAGATGAGATGATAGGTGTGATGGATGACATGGGAGGTGTTTGCGTTGCAAGAGGTAGTGGTTGTAGTTGTTGCTGTTGTTGTTGTTGTTGTACAGTGTTTGAAGAGTTCCTTGGCGATTGGCCAACGCTGGATGCGGCACTGCTCTGGTATCTACTCTTCATGCTTCGCCAATATTTATCCGACTCTTTGGATAGGTACACCTTGAGGTCTCTGACATCCTCCTTTAACTTTATGTCCAGCTCCATGTAGAACAGTCGTGCTGGGTCACCCCAATTGCTCATGACGATTTCGGCGGCCTTCATCAGTTCATTGGTGGACAGGCCCACCACTCTCTTGTGTGACAGGTCGAATCGATGGAAACAAAGAAAGAGTACCTTGACATACTTCATTGCCAACTCACGACTCAATGAGAACTCGTTCATGATGATGTCAATCGATGATGATCGATTGTCACCAAACACTATTCTGCTTATCCTCTTTAGATTGTCAAACTGATTGGTTGTTGTTGTTGTTGTTGTTGTTGTTGTTGTTGTTGTTGTTGTTGTTGTTGTTAGTGACACTTGTGTGTGTGAAGGAGGACTTTAGTAACATACCTGTCTCTCAGAGTTGATCAAACGTATTCTAAGTTTCTCGCTAGTGTCATCCAGGTCTCTTCTTTGACCAGAGGTCAATTTGCGACCAATTAACTCGCGCATTAGACCATTGTCAAAGTCATAGTAGCCTTCAATCAATTGCTTTCTTGTAGTTGGGTCCATTTGAAACATAGAATGTGAGGCCAATGACTTTGGATGTTCGAGAGCTGTCTGCAAAAGATTAAAGTTGCGATATTGATCATCAGTCTCCTCAAGTAGTCTGGGTAGAGTGGCTGATATACCTGGGTAGGAGACTCCATTTACAGTCTCATGAAGCTCCCTCGAAGTAGAGCATTCCCTCTCTAAGGTAGTTGTAGTGCCATATTTGTTAGAAGGGATGAATCTGTCTGTCTCTGTCTGTCTGACTATCTGTTGTCTGTTGTTGTTGTTATTATTGACAACAACAACAACAATTACACATACCAGTTCTTCCGCTGAGCCATTGATTATAAATGAATGTATTTACAGGTATTGGATCGGATATATTTACATCAAAGAGTATCTTTGACTTGGTGTGTGATTGATTCGCAAGTATAGACCTGATGTCTTCATTCATTATTTCTTCTTCTTTTTGTATCTGTGATAAATCAATCAATGTTTAATGTCTAGCTCATCATAAGAGAGCAACCACAAAGTTTTTCTTTTCGACAGACACAATTATTTAATTAATGGACAGAGATAATAATAATACAACATCAACAACAACACAACAATCAAAGACAGAAGAGCCTAGTTCAATAACGACCGTATCATCAACATCATCAACAACCTTAGATTCATCAGCAGATACCTGTCCAATATGCCTATGTGATGTCGATAATCTTACATTCTTGGATGTTTGCTTTCGTAAGTAGTCTGAACAGCAGTGTTGCTGCAACGACGACGTCGTCGTTGTATATATATATAACTAACCAATCAATTTAATAATTCAATGTAGATCACTTCTGTTTCGTATGTATACTCCAATGGTCGGAACTGTCTTTAAAGTGTCCACTCTGCAAGACGACCTACGAATCACTCATACATGACGTCAAGTCCAACAAAGATTATAAACGTCATGTATTTGAAGTGGAGCCCAAACGTGTCAGTAGAAAACTGACGACTGCATCACCTTCAATATCAGCAGCAGCAGCATCTCAGCAACAAAGAAGCAGTAGACCAGTGTTCTTTCTTCCCAGTGCTTCAGAGACGTACTCTGATTCGTACGCCTTTAGGAGGAGCGTGTACGCCCGTAGGATAAGAGCCATTCCTATGGTACCACCGTTCAGATTGTATCTGAGTCCACAGCAGATAAATTCATCGTTCAGTTACTGGAAGTCTCGATTGCAGCCATGGATACAACGAGAGCTAAAGTCCATTCTTCAGACAAACACTGGCATCGATATTCTGGAGGAGCTATTGTTCTCCCTACTCCGTAAATATCGTCATGACTCCACAGAGATGCTAAACACCCTTAGGAGATTCCTACATGATAAGACTGAGCTCTTTGTCCATGAGATGCTCTGCTATGCATGCTCACCATACAACATCACCACTTATGATCAAAGAGTGATGTATGATCATTCAAACTCTCTTGAACAACAACAACAACCGCAGCAGCAACAACAAAAAGAGGAAGATGGACGATCTAAAGTATCAACAAAACCCTTAACTGATATTCTAAGACATACAGTTACTGGACATATATCACCAATACTTATCAGCTGCATACAACAAAAGGAAGAGGAGGACATAGAGAGGTTGAGATTGGAAAGAATCAAGTCTATTGTACAAGAGAAGTGGAACATAGAGCCAGATTGGCAACATCTTGGAGGCCAAGATTCTAATGTAGAGTTAATCCGCAACATGGAGCGATACGTACATAGATTGAATGAACAGAATAATACACCTTAAGTGTTGGGTTTGTTCTCTTATATAACCTTCTTCAACTATTTGGATGTCCATCGGTACTCTGGGAACAGTTTAAGTAATCCTGGGGTCATTTGTGGCAGTATGACGATCTGATGACATTATGTTATATATTTGCCTATAATATACAAATAAAGAGAGTGCATGTCAATGAAAGAATGAAAGATTATTAATTTAATTTAATCATCTTTGTAGTCATTGCCGTTGTATTCTGAACCATCCTCTTTCAATTGTTTGATCACTTTGCCTTCTCTATCAACCTCATCCCATACATCTTCATTCATTGAATTGATCCTTGGGTAAGGCTTTGTAAAGCAATCTTGAATCCACTCCACCTCATCTGGCTGAAGCATACCAGTATGGTAATATTTGATATCTTTTTTGGTTGGGTATCCAATATCCAATCCTAGTTTTGTAATCTCGGTTATCTCGATAACCCTGTCCATATATGATTTTAGAGCGTTGCAGTGTTCGATTAAAAGTCTACGGCATTTTTCTGTGCAGCCATTGCTTAGTAATGGGAGAGTCCTTTGACCCCATAACTCATTGTCATCGATAGCAAATGGTCTCATGTATCCCATACCAGAATGTAATGAGCATTCCATTACTCGAGGAATTCCAGTTAGTGTAGCACAAATATTTAATTATGACAATTATCAAAGAGTGTGATGATTTAATAGACAACACTTTCACACCTAGCTTTTCAAAAACTACAAATTTTGGTCTGATTACACTTTAACCCCATTTTAAACTCAATTATTATTTTGGCTGGATTACGAAAGGCGATGGAGTAGATAGTGTATTATAGTTCCAATATATTATCCATCTCTTGTAGGTAGCTATATATATAATTGTTGTTTATGGAGTATTTGATAGATTATACTTTTTGTATCATAAGATAATTTAATTTAATATATATTCAATATTATGCTATCGTATAAAGTTTCCCTTATATCGGTCATCCTTTTTCTATTCATATCTATTTCATATGCAACGTTTACATATAAATATGTTGCAGCTTGGTATAAGCCAGGTATAAAGTCAAAATGGTCTTGCTTCGAGAACCTAAGAACTGGCGAGAAACCTTATACATTATCCCCATCATCTTCAACAAGAGTACCTGGTATTTACCTACACTTCCAAAGGGATAAGGAGTTCCTGATCAACGATGGAGACCCTACAAGATGCAAAAGAGCGGACATTGCCAAGTTGGTGGCCATTGGTCAATCAAGCAGTGATATTTACGATCGGATTATGGACCATGTCTCAAATGTAGGTTCCGGCTCAAAGATTGTGAACGCTGCAAAGTACCGGAACACAGACATCGTTTGCTACTATACGCTTCCGGGTCTACCAGAGTTGCGAACGAGGAACAGGAACAAGGCGGAGGTGGATGTGGACCGTGATACGTTCGAATTGGAATCGGGCCTCCTTACCCAGTTTGCAACTGTACTAAATGACAAGGACTTCGGGGGAGTATCAACTAAAGACGGTGAAATATTGGGCGATAATCACTATCCTATTGATATTATGAAGACCTTCGAGGACAGCTTCAACCCAGAAACCATGCTGGACAAACTCTATAGCATTGTGTGGAAGCCAGCTAAAGGAGAGCCAGGGTTGGCATCGTATCCATACACTGAACCGAATCCCAAGGTCAATGTCCCGACCAAGGAAGAGGCTGACGACATGTTTAAAGACAAGAAGAGGAAGGAACCAGAGAAAGACGAGCCAACAACAACTACGACAACAACAACTACGACAACGACGAACACCAACGACAAGAAACCACCAACGAAGACCGTATCTGGCAAGATTGTCGAGGAGTGCCGTGACCCCGAGTCAACACCTACCCCTTCCAAAAAACCAAACTCCCTTGCAAATGGTTTGGGGGCTGCCGGTGGTGCAGGTCTTGGTGTGGCAGCTGCGACTGCAGTTGTAGTTGGTCAAATGGAAACCCAAGGAGTTACCGCTGTAGCAGGTGCTTCACCTGCTTATGCTACTGCTGGTAACGCGGGAGACCCTCCTGCAGGAGGTGGCACAACCAATGGCGCTGCCCCAGAACCAAGCACACAACAAGCAACAACCGCCCAACAAACAACAGGCACGGGTGCAGGGCCAGAAACCATGGAAGGTGAGGCTGATGGAGCAGATGTAGTTCCACGTAAGTCTTGGGGTGAAGAATTGAATGATGAAATCACGAATCCCATTGAGAGGGGTGCGAAAGGTGCATGGGACGCTGTTAGTAAACAGGTGGGAACAGTTTTGACAAAGGTGACTTTAAGGGGATTCTAAATAAACAGATTTCTTAATTTTAAATACACCGTAACGATTTGCATATCTTAAAGTGATACCTTAACACGACTTTAACACAGTCTGGCGATGATGTATTGGCACCAGGTTGGCTGGACTCGAACACACCTCCCGATCTCCAACCAAATCAGCTGAAGATCACACCACACATTGGCCAGGACGGAACTCCATCGATCATGTTCATTACACGTGGTCGCCGTGTTGCTATCCAACACTTCGCATACACTCGCAGAGCACTCACTAGTGTGCCACCGAACGCAACAAGGGTGCATTTAAGGGTCAAACCGCATACGCTACGTCCTTGATCCAACGTGACAGCTCCCATAAATTCGGACCAATGTCAATCGCATCGGCGCTCATCATGGTCAAGTCTGCTGCTGAATGTAAACAACGTTTACTCGAGTATGGCAATGCACTGGCACAGAGCGAGTCCATCCCAAAGGAACTCAATGTCCCACTGGTACTCACCAAAGACCAAACTGTCACTGAGGAACACACACATGCGATCGTCATCGACCTTCTATACTCATTGTTAGAACAAGCTAAACCATCAGCCAGAGTGACTGCTCTCAAGGAAGTGTGTGATAACCAAGACTCACACAGTGACAGCAATGACGATGATATATTCCCATCCAGTCCTTCTGACAGACCACATGTTGGAGCCAATACAACCACTACCATCAAAGAGACACCGAGATCAATGAAGTCACCGAGCCATTGAGTCCAGAGGTGAGACTCACAACACAAGTGGATGTTGATGCAATCGTGGATGATGAGGGTGAGGAGGAGGAGGACTCGAAGAAGACGATGCCGATCGAACCTATATATGTCAAGAAGGAACCTAACAGCGATGACAACATGGATTCGTCTGGTGACTGGGTCGATCCACCAAAGCAGAAGAATAAGCTAACAAGGTTATCACGCATGCCATCGCCAACACCAACCGACGACACTGTTGCCAAAGAGACACAGCAAACAACAACACCAAAGCCACAATCGGATGGAGATGAAGATGAAGACGATGTCGACGACCGGGATGACATTGATAAAGAACTGGATAAGATGTCCCGTGAGGACCTCGTCAAGATGCTCAAGATGAAGGGTGGTTCTAAAGCGATTGCGAGATATGATATGGTAGTGGGTGATAGCGAAGACACCGACAAGGACAAGACAGACAAGAAGAGAAAGCGCAATGGTTCACCATCACAACATGTGAAGAAACAGAAGGGGACGAGCAAGGCGGTGAAGACCAACACCACCGACAGTGACAAGGACTCTTAGATAAACAAACTTCTACTCTTTTATTGTGTAAACTTGACGAATGCATACCCTATAGCTATACCAACAACAGCAGCACCAACCAATTGGATTTCATGGCGTCTATAGAATGGTTCCTGGTCGGTTTGTTGTTGTTGTACCACAACCACAGCCTTATCATTGGTTATTGGCGGATCGGTAGTGGTAGTAAACACACTCTCTGCCTTTATGGCATGCTGTACAGACTGTTTCTTTGTTCGCCTGGGTTGAGTGGCTGAGACTGTTGGTGTCGTCGATGATACCTGTTGTTTAGGGGCTTTGATTGTTGTTGACACTCTGTTCACCTTGATCTTACTCATATCAACATTTATCCTTGTGGCTAGAGGTGTTGGTGTCGACGGTTCTGGTACCTGTTCCAATACAATGTCAAGGGCATTATTGTCATCGATGTCATCGGTGTCCTTGATGTTGATGGTTTCGTTGTCATCCATTATGTGTGTATATATGGTATGTTGTTGTGTGGAGGTGTTAATGATTCCACAATGACACGAGTGATGGTCCTCTGTATACATTGAGATTATTACTGACCTTCACTCGAACCCATCAAGCATATCGTAGTCGAGGTCATCATCCGCCTGCACTGAACCATTACCACGACCAAAGTATGTCCTCCCTGTCACCTTGTCCAAGATCCTCTTCCTGAGCTTGCGTTTGCTTTCGCTCTCGAGTACGACGTACCAACCTGGGCAGACGTCAGTCGATGGGAAGTATCCATTGACCCGATCAAAGGCTGGTGCACCCATCTGTGAGTGATGCCACCAAGTGAGCTCCTTTGATGTCATGTCATCCTCGCGGGTTACAATGTCCGATATTCTAGTGTTGGGTGCGTAATGTGCCACACTCTTCTTACAGTAGTCATCATCCTTGAACTCGTACATAAAGCACGTGTCTCTGTACGACCACATGTACACGTGATCATAATCCTCTCCACGACGTTTCCTTGGTCCACAACATCTACATTGGTCAACTTCATTGTTCATCATGTACTCGACAAGTCGCTCCCAATGTCCATCTATCGCCCTGGCTCGATCACCACCACGAACCATACTCCAGTATACTGTCATCTCTGGCATCTCCATCAGTTCCATGATCTTGAACATTAAAAAGTTGATGCTGATGATATTCCTACGTGCACCATTGTTGTTGAAAGTTGGACATTTTGAAAAGGCAGCACCAACCTCCTGCATCCTCCATCTTACTTCCTTCACTGCGTCTGGTTGCGTTGTGTCCAATGTGCCACTCCATAACTGCCTTGACAAGGGTGTGAGAGTCGAGCATCGACAGTAATGTTGTCTTGGAGGTGGATGACCATCAGGTTGTCTCGGATGGTTGTAAGGGTGGTTGAGGTGGGTCCTACATCGCTTACATGCGGGAGCTTGGTCGTCTGATCTATCATAGCCCCATCGTGATTCGTAATGCATCAATCTATAAACAATCTGTATCGACTTCTCCATGTAGCGGGCCAGAGACTCGAGAGGTTTGTTTGTCTTGTATGATCTATATCTGTAACCCAACTCCTCTGTTATGACCGTGTTATGAATTATCTTTGCAACATCGCCAGCAGTGAGGCGTCTTGCAGCTTTGATAATATCTCCTCTTTTGCGGCTGCCTTCGCAGTAGAGTTGGATGAAAGTCTCTGCCAGACACTCAAACAACTGTTGGGGAATCGCCGGATCACACAAAGTGAAACTAGCAATACGCTCATTAAGATGAAAGCCACGAACATAAGTTCCTTTTGTAAGGTGTGCCACCTCGACCTCGATGGTTGGTTGATATATGTCGAGGTTTCTGTTGTTGTTGTTCAAAACCAATGTCGGGGAACCTAGAGCGTAAGAATTCAAGTCTATGTTCGTCTGTTGTCGATTAATCGTTGTAGTTTCTAATGTCATCAGAAGTGAAAGTATTATCATGTAGATTGATAAACGGCCAATACTGTTGCACATGTCGATTAGATTGTGTCTCATCCAAGCCATCATTCATTCGTATTAGCTCGTTGAGTAAGTATAATGTATTATTTGTATTTGTATTTGTAGTTGTATGTATATGTAGAGTGAAAATGAAGAATGAATGTTGTGGTTCATCAGACACTGTTTTTATCTTGTCCAATCCATCACCTGTCTATAATTTGCAATCAGTTGGAGTGGTACAGCATCATTGTTCATACGGACGTCTTCACGCAGGACAACTTGTTGTGTTCCATCATCGACCTCGGTGAACGTTTCGTACATCATCTTCATCAATTTCATGACCACGGAGTCGATGTCAGAGAGATCCTCGGCTTCGTAGACTACGGTGGTCCGTCTTGTTGCCCGGGAGATCTGATCACATATCTGTTGTGCTTTGGCATCATCCATACCCGAGTACTTCGAATCGAGTGCTTTCAAGTCACTTGGAGAGAACTCCCTACTATACCTCACTAGGAAGTCGATGATAAGGTCCTCTTTGGAAATGGACCGTGTGTATGAACCACGTGAAGGATTGGCAAGGAACCCTGAGCAATAGAGAACAAGTGCGTCAAACACCTTTGGGTACTCCAGTAGACCAAGACAGAGCGTGCGCACGGCATTGGTTTTGTTCGCTGTCTGATGCTGTGTGCTCTCATCACCACCACCTGTAGCAGGGTACCGCAGGTCGACATACTCTCTGAATGCCTGGATGACTCTATCGACTCGGAGGCTTAGGGTCTGTCCATTCCGTGGCCAGATAAGTCTTCCACTCTCTGATGCGTAGACGCCACCATTGACGATACACCAAACAAAGAACCTGGTGACGTAACGCTCACCTAGCTGGTTGTCAGCACGTCGGTAAATCTGTGATGATTTAACATCCGGATTGAGTTCGGCCATGAGCTCCCTTGTGTCCTCATACTGGTCGGTGTGATTGTTGCGTGGAACCTCACCACCAAGCCCGAACTTGGTGTAGTTGAGTTGTGATAGTAGACATGTAAACACCTCTACATCAAACCCATCATCACCGTTACCCGATTGACACGCCTTTGCCAACTCACTGAAGTTCTAGGTTCTGTGACCGATTTTGATCAACATCGGGGCAAAAAACCCCCGACACTCGGAGTCCACTCCAAAACAATTGAATCAATTGTTTTCACTCAAGAGTGATGGGTCATCCCAAAACTATCACTGGGCCTATCGGAGGATGTAACTTATTATTAACTTTGTAGCAATACAACATTTATAACAACATACATAAATACACACTCAAATAAGAAGAATGGGAAACGTCTGTGGTAAACAAGAGATGGGTACTGAAGAGGACATAAAATCCAATCAGAACATCAACACTATGCTTAAGCAAGCCAGACTACGATTGGATAGTGAGATCAAGTTGTTGTTGTTGGGTGCTGGTGAGTCTGGCAAGGTATGTATGGTGACTGCAGTGGAGATGGAATATATGTATATATTATAGATCTCTAACAACAACAACAACAATAACAACAACAACAGAGTACAATTGCAAAGCAGATGAAGATTCTTCATTTGAATGGATTTACACAGGAGGAGAAATCATCTTATAAGACCATAATATATAATAATACAGTGGGATCAATGCGAGTGTTGGTCAATGCCGCTGAGGAGCTCAAGATTGGTATCAGTGAGAGCAACAAAGAGGCTGCCTCTAGGATCGCTAATGACCTTGGCGAGCACTTTAATGGAGTGATCACACCGGATCTGGCAAGAGACATCAAAAACCTGTGGTCGGATCCGGGCATCCAGACAGCCTTTAGCCGCTCCTCAGAGTTCCAGCTTAATGACTCGGCCGCCTACTACTTTGATGCCATTGAGCGCATTTCCAAACCCGACTACCTCCCATCTGAGGGTGACGTATTGCGCTCACGTACAAAGACCACTGGTATCATCGAGACAGAGTTTCAAGTGCAAGGCACTGCTTTCCGCATGGTGGACGTGGGTGGCCAGCGATCAGAGCGTAAGAAGTGGATGCACTGCTTCCAAGAGGTCACTGCGGTGATCTTCTGTGTGGCTCTTAGTGAGTACGATCTTAAGCTCTATGAGGATGACACAACAAACCGTATGCAAGAGTCACTCAAGTTGTTCAAAGAGATTTGCAACACCAAGTGGTTCTCAGAGACGGCCATGATCCTGTTCTTGAACAAGAGTGACCTGTTTGCAGAGAAGATCACCAAGTCTCCCTTGACCATCTGTTTCAAAGAGTACAGTGGTGCCTCCACCTACGAGTCCTGTAGTGACTACATCAAACACCAGTTCCTGAACCAGAATGAGAACCCCAAGAAGCATATCTACCCTCATCTGACGTGTGCGACCAATACCTCCAACATCTCCCATGTGTTTAACAGTGTTAAGGACATCGTTTTGAAGGATGCCCTGGAGACAGCAGGCATGTCCTTTTAAGAGGCAGCATCTTAGTGATTCGGTCAATCTCTCCTCTCTCTCTCTCTCTCTCTATCTCTCTCTTAGAGATAGGCAATGTATAATAATAGTTATTAAATTCTACTACCTAGGTGGTAGCTGACTTAAGTGAATGGTACGTGGATGGATGACTCATTTGTTTATTATTATCACCATCAATCAATCTATGATCATACAAGAACTATCTTCTCTATTATTGTTTTGGTGTTATCCATTCCGCTGTGATTGGACTCGACAAAGATAGTAAGCTGACTTAACTTGTTGTGAATGCCACCACCAATTGTTTGCAGTGGAGATACCAAGCCACACTCTGATTGATCCTTCACCTCTAGTGTTAGGTTTGGTTTCATGCTGCTGGCACTGCTGAAATCAATTGCTGTCTGATTAAAGAAGACCTTCACATTCTTTGGCATTGTCTCTGTGGTGAGATATGTATGTATTGGTTAGAATGTTGTTGTCTATCTATCTTGAGGCCATCATTATTACCTTTAGAAACAGTTGAAATCAACTTGATTCCACTGAGCCTGGTGGGCTGCGAGAAGCTGATGTGGACGATCATCTGTTGGTCGTCATCAGAGACGAGTCGTATCTCCTTGTTGACCGATATGATATTGGACAGTACCTGGCTAAGTGTGGATGATATCTTGCTATCGATGCCAAGAGTGAAACAATTATTGATATCCAATGAACTCATCAAAGTCTCCAATGTAGTTCCAACTGATTGCTTCTCTCGCCACTCCAAAAATAGCTCTTGCTCTTTGGAGATGACGACCTCAGTTGGCAGTGTCGAGGTGGGTGGGTTGAACATCAGCTGTGTCGTTGGCAAGGCATGGAAGCTATCTGGTGTTGTTGGCTCCAGGGTGAAGAAGCGACGGTGAGGCCATAGCAGGTCAATCTTCTCAAGTGGCTTGTATATCGACTCGATTTCGATACGATGCTCACCAGGAGTTCTGGTCATTGTCTGTTGCATTGTCAGCTCTACAAACTTTGCTTGATCGATGTTTGTATGATCGTGGTGTACCAAAAGCTCCTGTCCAAACTGGTTACGTGCTCTTTCACTGTCACTCAGTTGAGTGGCAATGATCGGACCACAAAGCTCAGTCAGTTGTGCCGTGTTGATAAAGTCCAAAAGTACCACACCCTTCCAACTGACATCCTCGCCATTAGAGTCGATCCTAAAGTTCTCTACGAACTGCCTGGCAATTGGAGAGGACTCCATGATTGAGGCGATGGACTTTGGAAGCAACCTAGAGCTATGTAGTGGTAGTACGCTGAGCAAATGGATAAATGGCTCCAATGGTTTTCCATAGTCGAGCTTGATGCATTGAGAGTTGGTCTCTGTTGTCGATAGTTTGGCTACATACTTGGCCAGATCTGTAGCCAATGGAGCGTAATGGTAAGGATAGTACCAGCTATTAAAAAATAAAGGGTTAGTGGGGATGAAGGTTGTGAATACAATACTAGTATGACTAAGAATACATACCCCCAAGCAGGACATCCTTCTACGTAGTATCTCAGTACCCATGTCAAACCTTGCAAGTAGGCAGCGCACATTTCATCAATGGTCTGATCCAATTGGTTAGTGGTGGCACCAATCTTGAGTTTGTAGTAGTTGATCTCTCCATCGAGATTCCTTCTGACAGGCTCGAGAAAGTGATCACTGTCCTGTCCCATCTTTTGCTCTAACCTGATGATCTCCTTCTTGTGCATCTTCTCCAGCTTCTCTGGAAACTCAACGCTCTCCCATTTTGCAATCATCGACAGCAGCTTACTGAGTGAGTCAAAGTTGATCTGATTGGAGCCATGTTAATTAGTATAAGTCAATGACTGGCTGTGTATGTGGTGGTGATTGAGATAGTTACATGTTGACCATTGGTGATGTAGTCAAAGTGACCAGTCTCTGCAAGGGAAGAGCTCATCCAGTGTCGATACCAGTTTAGCATCAACTCAATAGAGCCCTCTTTGATCTTCAACATTGGAATGTTTGGTATAAAGTCGTTACCAAGCAGCATGCACATCATTGTGAAGTCATTGATCAGCCGGTCAAAGTTGATGGCCTGCTTTGCTTCCTCTGACAGACCCGACAGTAGAGTGTACCTAAAGTAATCCTTGAGGTAGTCCAAGTTGACAAAGTCAAACTGATCGTCACTCTTTGGATTGGATGAGCCATAGGATGTCTTGTGTTGTGATTTGCCAAACTCCAAGTACTTCTGGATTGCCTTGTCCAAATCCCAATCGGATATCTATAAGAAGCATGTATATGTATTAGAGATGAGACTTAGATATGACGGGTATGACTATGTATACATACACCGAGGTAGAAGTATGCAGAGTCCAACGTTGTTCCTGGATCGGACAATGTTAGGAATTGGTTGACAGTGGCCAGCTTTTGGAGTTTCCTATCCTCCTTAAGCTTCTGCTCCGCCAGTGGGTCAGTGGCAATGGTAGTAGGGGATGTTGGTGCGACATCATTCCTCTTTGATGTACTATCCTTCTGAGGCTTTTGCAATCTTGACCTCTTTACCATCAATGCTGAACCAAAGAAATCTGCCCCATTGAGTGCCAATGCCTTCTTTGCAGACTCCTCATCCTTGAACTTGATAACGGCATACCTAAGTGTATTATTAATATTAGTATATTGATATATCGATCATTCATGCACACCTAAAACATACTTTAGAGGTCTTTCCTTTGGTGCTGGAATGAACAATAGCTCCTCTATTGGTCCGCAAGATGAAAAGAACGCTCTCACATCAAATAATAGAGCTCTGGTGTCAAGGTTGGGAATGAAGATGGAGGTCTTGGATAGTGATGCATCGTCCTCCTCGATAGTATCTGATACAGGAGGTGTAGGAGGTGACTCTGACTGCTGTTTCTCTGGTGCTACATTGTGAATGGACAACTTCTGGTCATTAAAGAAGTAGTTGGCTCCACGTGATGTGATGTAGGTGGTGGACTCGGTGTCGACAAACTGGATGTGTGCTGTCACTGTAGGTTTCTTTGTGAGCGCTTTCTCCAACCGCACTGACTGAACCTCGCCATGGTATGAGAGCATTGACGTGAGTGCCTGTTCGTCCACCTGTATGGGCAGATTCCTAATGGTGATCTTGTTGGACTTCTCAAATTGTATCAACCTTTTCTTTGCCAACGCCGACTGACATTCGTAGGATGCATGACCAGGCTCTTTGCAAGTGCCACACGAGGTCAGACTAGAGAGATCACGCAGAACAAAGAAGTGTCGCAGGTGTGTGGACAGTCCGAGGAAGATGAGATCGGCGTCCATTCCATAGAAGAGGTGTGAGGTGTCCTGTGGCCATAGCTTGGTGTTTTTGCGGATAAAGTCCATGATCTTGTGCTCACCTTCGCCAGGCACAGTAGAGTCAGAGACGATGATGGTCAGATCAGAGTATCGCTTAGCAATGGTGGAGGCATAGTGCTGCATCCACTCGTTAACTCTGGTCATGAACTCGGTGGAGGGCGAGATACAGTTTGGATCAAACACATTTTCGAGGTCGACTGGGGCATCGGTTGCTGGTCGTTTGGAAAGGGCATCCTTTACATCCTTTGCTGAGCGGAAACGACGTTTCCTCTGCTCGATTGCCTTGGCACGTGGGGGTACACCATCGATGGCAATGTATAGTACGTTTGTTGGATTTGCAGTGTTGATGATGTCATCCAACCTCTTGAACAGTCCGACTCTGACTGATTCGTCCGTGACGATCTTTGTAAGCATTGTTGGATCAGCATTGCTATGTGTTGAGTTATGAATCACTCCATTCATATCGATATATAGGTTGTTGAATCTCAACTTCTTTTTGTTGTTGTTATTGTTGTTGTTGTTGTTGTCATTATTGTCACAGTCATTGATATAGTTTGAACAAACTATCTTTGGGTACTTCTCCACCAACCATTTGTAGAATGAGGGAACTCCCATATCTCTTTGTTTGAAATATTGTAATTATATGAATACATTATTACACCAACTCTCTGATCCTTTTATTATGAAGGTGTCAACAGAGCTTCAAGTTTCTGATTTTTTTATTTAATTTATCTTTATCTGTTCGCTTTTTTTGATTGAAGACCAATTAAGTTTGGCGCCACTTTGCAAAGTCAAGTTATCTTTACCAGTAATGATAATAGGTGAGAGCTGGTCTAACAAATAACAGGCTCTATGATACCAATGCTTCAACATACTCTGTCTTCAACATCAACTACATCATCAGTCAATGGTGTCACGTCAACCTCTATACAAACCAACACCTTGGCATCGTCACAGTCTTCACCAGTGACCAATTGCATAAGAGTGGTATGTCGCTTTAGACCAATCACAGAACCAGAGGTCAAGCGTAACGAGCACTCCATCATTCAGTTCCTAGACAATCAGTCATTCGTTATAAAGGTAAGAAGGTGCAACATTGTTGTTGGCAAAACAACATGAACTGTTATTGACTCACAATAATCCCAACAACAACAACAACAACAACAGCAACAGAGCAACAGTACACCACAACAATATACCTTTGATAGGACATTCAATACTGATGAGGATCAATCTGTTGTATTCCATGATGTAGCCATTCCCATAGTTCAAGGTGAGTGAATACATCACTGCGAAACAAGTATTGTTGTTGGACTAACAATCTTTATTACACCATCAACAGACTTTTTGGATGGCTACAATGGAACTATATTGGCGTATGGACAGACAGCATCAGGAAAGACCTATACAATATATGGTGAACCCTCTAAAGATGATACACAACAGGACAACAATGGTATTATACCTCGTATAATCGAGGAGATATTCACAGGAATTGCGAGGATGAGACAGAAGAACAATGAGTTGGCCTTTGTTCTAAAGATGTCCTGTGTTGAACTGTACATGGAGAAGATCAACGATCTCTATAATGTGTCGGGCACCAACCTACCGATCAGAGAGCATCCAGACAAAGGAATCTACGTGGAAGGCGTATGTGAGAAGGTGATACAATGTCCTGATGACGCCTTCTCCTTTCTGAATCTTGCCAACAACAATAGAGCTGTTGCTGCCACCAGTATGTTTATGTGATCATCATCATCATTGACTTGGATGCTGTTACTCGTACTAACTTTATTCTTCACCCAGAGATGTCACAGGCAAGTTCAAGAAGTCATTCCATTCTGATGATTGAGCTGTCACAACAGAACTTATTGGATCTCAGCTCAAAGAAGTCGAAACTCTTCCTGGTTGATCTGGCGGGATCTGAGCGTGCATCAAAGACTGGCGCTGAGGGTGAACGCATGCAGGAGGCCAAGACCATCAATCTGTCATTGACCAATCTTGGCACTGTAATCAACTCGCTCACCAACTCGAACAAGACACATGTGCCTTACAGAAATAGTAAGCTGACACGTGTTCTGCAAGAGTCATTGGGTGGTAACTCAAAGACTACATTGATCATTGCTTGCTCACCGAGCAATGGCAATGAGAGCGAGACTGTGTCCACTATCCAATTTGGATTGCGCGCAAAGAACATCACCAACAAGCCAAAGATCAACAAGGAGGTCACTGTCATCGAGTTGAAACAACTGTTGGAAAAAGCAAACATACGTATCAAAGAGTTGGATGAGCTTGTTGAGCTTCTAAACTCACAACTTGAGTCTCAAAGTAAGTTACTCTCTCTCTCTCTCTCTCTCTCTCGCTTTGATCCACTAACATTACCTCTTGGACCAATCTATAGAGCAAGACATTGAGACATTGGAGAGGGAGAAGCAAGATGCTCTTCTAAATTCAAGCGTTAGTCAACAACAAGATGGTCCATCACTAACTTGCAACAAGAAGGTCAAGCGTGAGATATTGCCTCACGTGGCACCGACAGTAACTGCAGTCAGACGTTTGAAAAGAGTGTTCAAGCCCAACCCTCCACCTATGAGCGTCAATGACCTAGAATCCCCACGACCTACCACGGACGACGAGGACCGGAGCTCAGATAGGGCACCCAGAGAGGTGGAGAGCGATGACGATCACAGCAGCTTGAGCAGGAGCAGTAGCAACAGTAGCAATCTACACAGGCAACTTGACGAGAAGGACGACCAGGCAATGGAGTCACAGCTTGTACCTGACCACACAGTGACTGCACCCGATCACATTACACACGTACTCGACTCAATGCGCAATGAGGCAAAGGAAGATACAACACCCAAAAAGATACCACTGAATACCACAGAGTCTGATGAGCCAACACCTCCAATATCACCTCGATCACTGCCCCTACACTCGCCTCCATCATTGTCAAACTCTATCACCAACCTCAACTTATTACCAATGCTTTCCACCACAGAAACACAATCACTGGTGCCAATCATGAATGACTCTTCACTGGATAACATTGATACACAACAACAACAGCAGCAGCAATATCATCACGATCATCTGGTAGAATCATATGACTATCAAAGTGTCAACAGCAACTTTATCCAAGAGATTGAAGAACAGCCACAGGCTCCACCTCGCTCCCCCATCTTCAAACGAACAAAGGCCACAGAGATCAAAGCAGTTACACCTCCACCTCCAATCGATACTCGACCCTCTACTCCTCCATCCTCCCCAGCGCCAATACATACACAAGACTCAACCAGACAAACCAAACCCCAACAACAACAACAACAGCAACAAACAACCCGTGGTGTATCCAACAACAACATCCTTGTATATATTATATCAATCATACTCATCACCACTTTGCTTGTGACAGCAAGCATGTATATCAACACTTCACAAATATCAGATTCTCAGCGCCTTCAAGAACATCTATCCAAGCTTGGGCTTGCCGCCCAGGACCAACATTTGTTCAATATTGGCGATCTTACAAACCTTCGCAAGGCGTACAAAGCATCGCTACTTAAATAGTAAGGACAAGCACAACACCTGATAATAACAATCAACACTAACAACCTGATCGATCAGTCATCCAGACAAGAACTTAAAATGTCCAGAATGTCCAACCATTATTAGTGAGATACAAAACTCTTATCAAGCACTCTATCTACACTATACGAGTAACTATCCCATCCTAGGATCAGTCCATCCAATCCACTACCTACCTACCTACCAACCTACCAACCATCTAATATCACCATCCACCAACAGATCCTTCACTATTCCAACAGCTTGTTGACTTGATACCACTAAGGATTTCATACAAGATGGACAATAATCACAACAGCCACCAACACCACCAGAGAGAGGATGAGGATCAGCTGCTGCGTTTAAAGGAGCTGCAAGAAAGAGTCGACAAGGAAACCAGAGGTCTGGAGCAGGAACGCTCTTTATTCAAGGTTGTCCGAGAGCAGAGTGAGACTGAAATCAAACAGCAAGAGGAGATATTACGGATGCAGCAAATGCGGTTGGAAAGTGACAAAGCTGCACTCGAAGAGCAAAGGATTGCTCTTGAGAAGAAGCAAGAGATGTTGATTCAATTCGAGTCTGAACTATTATCAACCGCTGCATCCGCAACAAAACCAACAGCAGATGATCCTCTCTCTAAAGACATTGAACCAGAACCAATTCAACAACAACAACAAGAACAGGAGGGACAGGGACAAGAACAGAAGGTGGAACATGAACAATCCAATCACCAGTTGATAATTAAGGATGTCTCCCCACTTCCAATTAGACTTATTAAGCGCTTGGTCACGTGGCTGAAGAGTTGGTTTGGACAATAAACATAGACAAAAACATAAAGACATGTGTGCCATGTACTGATAGGTTTGTGCGTAAAACTAGTTTATTTAGTTGGTGGAAGGCTTGAAAGCTCTGACACCTGGTCTCTGTGGACGGGTACGGATCTTACGATCCTGGACCGAGCGGACACGGACGATGTGAGAGTGAATAGCACAAGAGATACAATATTGGGACTTGAGGTAAGTCTTTGGGAATTTGTACTTCTTCTCAGTGAAGAGACCCTGGTCAGAGATATCCTTGACAGCGGCATTCTCAACGATTGGGCGAATGTAGAATCTCTTGACTGCCTTGTCCTGTGATTGATAAAATCAATGATGAGGATGATGATGTTTGGTGGTGTCCAAAGTTAGAACTTTGTGATTGTTTGGTGATCTGTTTGTCACTCCTATATTTGATGCCAATCTGTCATACCTTTGGAACGCATCTAGCACAGTTGGTGCAACGGATGGCTCTGGTCAATCCACGACCGTGCTTAGCTCTTCCGTGATTACGTCTCTTCTGAGTCATTCTGATCTAGATGTGTTTATATTGTGTTGTGTGTGGATATTAGTACATGGTGTACTCAACATATGTTTTCATTGATAGATAATGTTGTCTCCTCCTCGTTGTGGTCTTTTGTTGTTGTCGTTGGTGTTGTTATTCGCTGTGGATGTGATGTTGACACAACAGAGTTACACCTCAGGCCCATGTTGTATGTTGATTCTGACTCGTCGCAACCATGGTTGTATAATAGGATTCTTTTTGCAACAAATCGTCAATTGATTACTGTTATGAAGCTGTTGCTGATATCTGTTGTGTCATCTCGTTTGTTCCAAATGTTTTGCTCGCAATGATCATCACTGTATAACCTATGACAGCATATTATTGCTGATGTCTGTCCTATTGCTAACATTGTCGTCAAAGATAATGGCCAAATTCACTTACAACGATCGTATATGTCCTTAAGAGTGTACCCTTGGACTGTGAACACTGTGAGATCAAAGTAGTGGTTGGTCCAGGCAGGATTCTGGACCTCGGGAAGAACACATTGAACTTTATAAAAAATCAAAATAAATCATATGAATTGGTGGTGATAAAAAACCCGGGCATTTATTTCTGTCACAATTACGCTTCACGGACTCTCGTTTGAGTGGGTGCTAGTTCAACAGGCTGATCAATCACAACATCAAACAATCACAATAGCATATAGATGGATATAAGCGAGCAGTTCTTTGAGCTTGCCAACAAGAAAAGTGTAATCAGTGGGCACCATGACAAGAGGAAGGCAGCACAAAAGAAACTGTTCAGAGACAAACCTCTTAGGGATAAGAACGATGTCATCCTTAAGGCTGCTATCAAGATTGTAAGGCATTGGATATTGACAATGGGAAGAGGGAGAGGTCATAATGACCCATTCATCTGACAATAATATCAATATCCTTCCAGCTTCACAATGTCGACTTACTCCAGGCATTCTTGAATGAGAATAGAGAAGCCTATGTCGACACATCCAAGCATGTGTCAACAAGGTCATCAGCAATGACCGACGAGCAACGCGATCTTATCGATAGCAAGTCATTGGAACTGATAGAGATGTGCAATGGCAATCTTAATGAGTTGGATAAAGTTATCCAGGGTAAATATTTGATGTCTTATCTTATGGATTGATCATTTACACTTACATCATCATCACGCCAATCAATAGAGAGACATAGGAACAATCCACCACCAAAGAGAACATATAGTGACAATGGTGATGATGATGATATGTCCATATTGAGAGATGACCCAGACAATATGTTTGTTCGAAGAATAGATCAATTCGATAGCAGAGTATATATGTATTTTAATATATTGGATCAATTGAAGGAGCATCTACATCATGTGTCAGAGAACTTTAAGAAGCAACGTTCATTCAGACTGTCTTCAAAGGCCAGGGAGACAGAAAGGTAATCATAACACGAGTATACGTATTAGTCAGAAAAGGCTCTAACATTGCATAATTATTGTTTGACACAGATTCTACTCCAGTCTGGAAGCATCTAGCAGGGCAAAGCTGAAAGATACTCAGTCTACAACAGCAGCAGCAGCTACTGCTTCTGGTGACAGAAGTATCAAGTCAAGTGGAGGAATCTCAGCTCTCATTGGTGAGGAGGACAGCAGTGAACAACAAGTATTCAGAGAATTGGATTTGGATGAAGAGCAAACTATTATATACGAACAACAGAACGCACTGTTAATTAATGAATTGAACACTCTGTCAGACCAAATGGTGTATGTATTGGTTGGATGAGGAGGAGGAGGAGGAGGAGGAGGTAGTTGATAGTTCACATGTCTAATGCATCAATCAAATACCCAACAAACAACATAGTGTCATTGAAAGACAAATAGAGGAGTTGACACAGTTATTCGATGAGATCACTCCTCACATCATGGCACAGAGGGAAACAATAGATACGATATATTCAACCAATGTGGATGCCACCAATTACATTGAGCGAGCCAACAACCAAATGCAAGAGGCAACAAAGAAGTCATTCGATTTCAGGATCATGGTACTCATATTCCTCATCACTCTCTCAATTGCACTGCTCTTTCTCAATTGGTATCAAGATTAATCATCATTATCATCATCATTATCAGAACACTCGATTTATAAACATGTACATAGTTGTTATTTAATGATTTATACAAATAGATGAAAGCCTTGTTGATACCATTTAGACATAGTCGTTGTCGTCGGAATCTTTTCTGTTGTACTTGGTAGTGTCTTTCATTGGACTGAGGAAGATCTGTGAATCAAAGTAGGACTGCTGGAGGTCATTGATGCAGTTGGTAGATACGTTGTCCAAGTTGAATCTGCCAGAGGATCGGACACTGTTGTCATTGGAGTGAGCAGAGTTGTAGACCAAGTTCAGCAACTCTGGTGATATGATTCTAGAGTCCTCAATGTTGTCAAGGTATGCTGAGCGATAGGAGGGTTCCTTTCCTCTGCCTCCATTGAAAATGACGCTATTCTGAGATTGCTGCTCTTGCTGTTGCTCCTGTTGTTCCTGTTGTTGCTGCTGCTGGAGGGCAGTGCCAATGTAGCTGTTGAGCTCCTCCAACACATCGTGATCAGGAATATGCCATTCTGGATTGGCAATCTTAAAGTTGACGACCGATCTCTCAACCTTGTCTTGCTTGTTGTGGCTGTTGTGGTCGGTTTCTGAGAATGAACGAACCATGCCGCTCTTGTTGGCTTGGTTCAGAGTGTTGCCATAGCGTGAGAGGTTTGTGAAGGTACCAAACATGCAGATCTTGCCAACGCCCTCAAGGTTGACAGTGTACATTGCGATGAACTCCAGGATGGCCAAGGATGAGTTTGGCAGGGAGAACAGGAGTATGAATGGGGCAAAGATCACAGAGGAGACCTCGCGCAAGAAGTCCACAATACGATATTCAAAGAGCTTAAGGAATCTGTTGCGAACAGTGTAGGTATGTGTTCGACCACTCCAACTCTTTGGGATGTAATGGGTGTACTTGACAACCTTGATCATGTGCTTTGCGGGATTGAACACCTCGTTCTCCTCGGGGATGAGAGATCTGCAGATAGCCAGTGCAGTTCCAAAGATTCCAACGTACCAAATGGGCGTGCGTCCAAATAGGTCAAAGCTGAATAGGAAATCGTCGTTGATCACTCCAAACACCAGGAACACTGCAAGGATTGATCCAAGTACGAATGATATAAATTTGGCAAATATAGAAAGAAGTTCTGATGAGAAGCTGTCAACATATTTGTTGGCATGTGGATAGCTCAGATTCAGTCTGAAACGAGTGATGTGTTAGTATTCTTATGTATGTGGTAATTAATGCATCTAGACATACCTAATATTGAAAAGGTGTGGAAGCTCATTGAACTCTCTAAACTTCCACTTGGCCAAGGGAGACCATTCACGACTGCCCAACGAGCCAGGTTTGTTCTTAAACTCCTCAGCATACTTAAAGAAGTAGTAGATGAGAAGGAAGAAGAAAATGAATGGCGATGCAAACAATCCAACCAGACCAATCATTCTGAATCTCCTTGTAAGACTATTGTGTTGTGTTGATTGGTTAGTGATTGACCCAGATAGATATTATAAGAATTTAAAACAAGTTACATACCCTCTGGCCAGTCTATCTCTTTGAGTTGGATCGAAATATTCCTCCTTTACAACACCATTGGCATCGAAAATGTGATTGTAGAGAACGTACATGATACTCCATTCAAGAGTCTTGGTGATGAACTTGTACTGTCTCAGGAATGGGAAGGGAATTGAGAGGTCAAAGATCTTCCTGTCGATCATTCCAATGATGTAGTTCTCTTTCCTCATGATTCTGTTGGCAATATCCAGTGCACTCATATTCTGTTTGACCAGACAGAGTCTAGGAACACCAACAAGTTTGGTTGCAATCTTACTCCATTCAATAGTTTGTATGTCCTCCTGTTTGTGTTACAAGTATATGAGTATGACAATGTCTATTTGTATGCTGCAGTGTCAACATACCTCTGTGATGCGCAATACGTCATGATAGAACCTTTTGACCTCAAAGATGGATCTGAGTTCAACGAGGAATCTAAAGAATTTCATGAGCCAATATGAACAGAATAATATCAAGAAGATGATCAACCAAGATGGTACGCTCCTTGAAAAGTCCACAACCTCGTTGATTGACTTGCTATCGGCAAACAGTACTTTGTAGTAGTCGACAAATGACACTAGGAATGTAAAGAATGTAACAACGAATAATGATGTGCTAAAGTAATAATAATATGATTAGTTAGTAAACCTTGGTTTGATTGTAGATATTGATTATTATTATTACACATACAATAGTTCAAAGAAATGATCGAATAGAATACAGTAAAAGCCTTTGGCAACATAATAATTGTAGACGTTGGTGAGAAACTCGTCTAGATTGTGAATGGCTGGCATTGATGGGTTGGAGTTCTCAAGGAATGATTCATTGTCGTCGACAGCGTTCGATGAGGTTGCTCGGTCCTGTCGATGATGCTGCTGCGGTTGTTGAGTCATGTCTTCGAGAGGGAAGTAGTCGCCACCCTTCCACTCATCGCGTTGAGCAGACGATCTCTTTTGCTTCATAAAGTAATTGTTATTTCACGCACTCTCTCTCTCTCTCTCTCTCTCTCTCTTCTCTCTTGTATGTCTAATATTATTATTATTATTATAGTTATTTATATTAATACTATGTGTAATAGATAAATAGTTATTTGTATGTGTGTATGTATGTGTATTTAGTGTTCAAGTGATGGTGTGGTTGCACTTCTGTGGGAGTCAAGTCAAACTCTCTTACTTTTCTCCGTTTTTGAGATGAACAAATTAATTAATTAATTTAATTAAATGATCTAAACTTGGTTTTTCACTTATCTGAATTACAACAACTTGATAGTTCAATTAGATAATAAATAAATAAAAACAAGTAGATGTTGGATAATATATTTATAAATTATATATAATTTATATATTTATGATAAAATTATCCATTAGTGTCTCAACAACAATAAAACGAACACACTCCATTGTTTGAAAAGTTTGTCTAGAAACAACAACAAACAGAGAGAAAGAGAGGAGTTAGGCTGTATATACATGTGGTCTAGTGTCATATCCCAACAGAGGAAAGGGCAGTGAAGATGTTTAGCTTATTACCTTTAATGGTGGTAGAGTACATCATTAGACTATCGTTGAACCTAAGGGTATTGACCAATCGTCCTTCAAGAGAGTTTAGACAACAACAACAACAACAGAACTACAATATGCTCATCAACTCAATCAACATCGCCTCTGTCTGCAAGCAGTGGTTTGATATTGCACACCATAGCATTTACATTCTAGAGTTGAATCCATATGTATTATATCAGTTCAGAAAGCAACATTACCTACATACTGTTGTTGACAATACTAGTAATCCCTGTAACAACAACATCAATAATAATAATAATAATAATAATAATAATAATAATAATAGCAAAGACAACAGACTATTACATCTTTTCATAAAGGAGTTCGACACAGATCAGCTAATAGCCATCTTGGATCGATTCCCTTCAGTCAAGAGTGTTCACCTATCATTCTTTCACTTTGTTCGCTCAACATACTCTAGTCGATCAACATCACTTGCTCTCAATGACAATGATGGACACACACTATCTTCCTTAGATCACATCAATAATCAAGATGATGATGATCATGTTGATGATGAACCAAAAATGAACATTACTACAACCATCCACAATCATCATCATAACAATGTTGTCATTGACAACATAGTCAAGGACAATCAGTTGGTATCAATATCCCATCTAGAGATAGTGTCATGCGCCAACTTTAGACCTATAGGCATTGTAAACTACCTCCTCAACTCCACACACCTCAAGACCTTGATCATTGATCATTGTAACCTGCGCGACTCTGACTGCTCACTGATAGTACACACGATCAGATCCTCACCCTGTCTTCGCTCTCTGAGTCTGCGTCGTAATATGGTTCAAGACGAGGGTGCAAGAGCAGTGGCACAGCTAATCAAAGACAACAAGATGATACAGGAGATATTCCTATCCAACAATATGATAATGCACAATGGGGCCAATCACTTGTCTGTTGCACTTCAAACCAACACGACACTTCGACATCTCTCGCTGGACAACAATTTCCTCAGTATGGAGGCAGCTCTGTCACTCACTCAATGCTTTACAAGCAATCAAACACTCAAGTGTTTGGACATACGTGGCAACTACTTCCAATCCCGAGCACTGGCGGAGTTCATTTCCACACCGATCCCATCAAATGTCAGCCTCATTGTGGATGATGAACTCCAAAACCTATGTGTGAATATCATTACTACAACTGGAAGTTCTAGCAGTAGCAGTAGCAGTAACAGTAACAGCATCTACAACAGCCACCTGACCACACCAATGGTTAGCATAGACTCATTTCTATCATCCAAAAGTGTGGATGTATTTGAAAGGACAACAAAGAAAGCAAAGATATAAATGTATAATTTCCAACTCATGATTGATATCCTTTGCAAAACACGAGCAACCTATTAAAACATTGATTAGTTAATATATATATACATCAAAGTCAATCAAAGAATAGATACCTTGGATGTGTTGAGCTCATTGATTGATTGAAGTCTCCCCCAATCATGACCGAGCTTGGGATTGTTCCTGGGACCAACGGTTGATTGAATGAGTCGCCAAGGGTCAGGTACTGGACAGTGTGTGGAATGGCTCCAAGTGGGATCGGTTCATTTCCGTCGAGGTGAAGAGATGTTATTAAAGCTGGCGTGGCAGCAGTATGATCATTATCCTCTATGGGATATGAGCTGATGAGTGATTGTTGTAGCGCTCCACTGATGGGTAGGTTATAGTGTTCACATTCCAGTCGTAGTCTCCCCAGAAGGAATCTCTTCGTAGCGTTGACACATTATGAAAGTGTATGGAGTGTTTTAGTTGTGACCTGAACAGATGACAGGCCATCAACAAGCAGATGCGATCAATCTCGTCATTCACAAACGATACAATGTGGCGAGACCAGGGGAGGCAGTTGGAAGCCTGATGCTGTTGACATTACTACTTTATGTAAGTGTTATTGGAATATAATAACAAGACCAATAAGGTAATACTCCGAATGACTATGACCAATGTACAACACACAAACGAATGCTGAGAATATTACAAACCACTATCTCTCGAAACAAAAAATATAAATGTATATAACTCATTATTTATATGATGTTCGTTGTGAAAGGACCAGAGGCCAGGAGTAGATTGCGTCTGGAAAAGGTTAACATTGAATACTGGTGTCTGTTTGGTTGGATAGGTCTCCATCAACTCTGGTGATCTGGATGGTGACAGGGTGTTAAGGTTAACAAATGGTGAGGATTACTTACTGACAATACTGTGTAAACATACCTTCTCTGTTTTAGTCTAGACTTCTTGCTTGGGGTCTTGGTGGTGGTCGAGTCATCGTTGTTCAGTGATGTCTGAGAGCAAGCCTTGTTGACATCCCAAAGCCTCACTGTGCAGTCGGCCGATGCTGATGCCAGAATCGTGCTGTCCATGCTAAAGTCGAGCGAGTATACTGTCTTGGTGTGTCCGTCCATCTTCTTTATCTTCTTTCCACTGGCCAAGTCCCATAGAACCACGCTGGTGTCCTCACCAGCAGTGGCCAGATACTTGCCGTCTGGTGAAATGGAGACACTGTATATCGGTGCACGGTGTCCCATGAAAATACGAACACACTTGCCAGTGTTACACTCCCATAGACGTGCTGATTTGTCACTGGAGCCAGTGGCAAGATAGTTGATGTTTGGGTGGAATCTGACGCACTAGATCATGTTGATTATGATGATGATGGTGAGCTGGCAGTGTACAGGAGAGAGTCACCCTCACAAGAAAATCTTACATTAACGTCTGAAAGATGACCAGCAAAGATCCTCATTGGTGATATATAGTTGGTGCACCAGAGTCTTGCAGTCTTGTCATGTGATGCTGTTGCAAAGTAGTAGCCATAGGGACTGAATGACACGTCCCATATTGGATAGTTGTGTCCCTTGTAGGCCACTAGATTTGACATTGTTTCCATGCTCCAAAGACGAGCAGAGTTGTCCTCTGAGCAAGACAGGATGAACTGATTATCTGGACTCATTGAGCAACCATAGACTGGTCCACTGTGTCCAATGAACGTTCTAAAGTCAGAGTCCAATGCTGACGATCTCATTCTGTTATTTGGATCATCTCCTTCTAGAGGTGCTGCAGTCTTGTTCTTTGTAGAGGAGGATGATGAAGCCTCATCATCTTCCTCTGTCCTTGAAGACTCTCGCTTGCTTGCCAATTCTTTAAGGTTCCACAATCTGAGAGATGAGTCTGAGAATCCACCAACGACCAAGCTTGCATCCTTTGAAATCTCGACACTGTTCAGGCTGTGTTGTATCAATGATTGAGAGAGGACGTCAATATGTGATGGACTACTCATATTCATAGTATTGTACCTACCCTTGATATGTGTTGAAGAATGTGTAGCAACAAATCGATGGTAGAGAGGCAGCCGACAGTGACACACACTTGGCAATGTCATTTCCAAGCTCTGCTTCGAATGCATCGTTACTAGATGAGAATCAATGTTAGTTAAGTGGTCTACAATGATAATGATGACACAGAGGATAGTAGTAGTTACAATTTGGGCAAGGGAACATTTGACTTTGATCTGCTCTGTCGCTCCACCTCCTCTTTGGTCAACTTCTTTTTCTTTAGTTTCTGTTGTGAGGAGTCTCGAGTGTTAGTATTGATTGATCAGCTGAATCAATGATATGAAAGGATGTGGTAGTATTACCTTCTTCTCATCTTCAAACATTGCCTCGTCGTCCTCCTCCTGCTTGAATAGACCTGTAAAGATTGGCATTGAGTTGACGCCACTAGTATCAATCTCTGACTGACCCAATAGTGATTCGTCATCCACTGCTCCTGGTCTGGTGTTTGTAACTAACGTAGGTAGCGAACATTAATGTCAATTCGATAGTTCCATATCACCTGTTCGTATGTCATATCCTACCTTTGATGTTGAAGTATTGATTGATGATACTGATGATGAGAATGAACTTTGATTCATGAAGGAATGACATCAGCAGTTCGAATGAGTATGCACACATCTTAAGGTTCCAACTGTTGTTTCTGAATGTACTGGCCAACTATAATGTGATTGATGTAGTTAGTACGCACCCTTACAATATCAAGAGCAACCAAGTGCTGCTGATCACATTGTAAGCATACCTCATTCTCCTTTAGATGTTCATAGTTCCTGATTCCACGTAGTAACTTCAAGTCTTCGTCGTAGTAGTCTTCATGCTCTGGACCTAGTTTCTCCATCAGTTCAAATGCTATCAATGATTGTTGTGTCGTTCAGTCAGTCAGTCATATCAATCAAGACCAGTCAATGATGTAGTACACATACCTTGACTAGGATAACCTTTAGATATCAAATCGATATAGCAATGAACAAAGATGGGATAGAGGATAGAGAGGAACTCCTGCTTGTAGATGTCCAATGATTGATGAATCCAATTGCGTAGCTTGACATAGGACTCGAGATACTTTTGAGGGTTGAGATGCTCCTGTTGATTGTAGAACAGTAGGTACTGTGCGATGTTGCCTTTGTCTAGCTCGATGGCACTAGAGTCACTGCCCGTCGCTACAATGTTTGATTCCTGTCTAAATATAGCCTCACTGTTGGCATATCCTCTCTTTCGCATGTACTCCAACACTGCGAGGTCAATCTCCTTCTCTTCCTTATTCATCTCTATCTATCTCTATATATCTCTATCTCTATCTCTATCAAAAGTAAGTAGACTTGTGAACAACTTTGACAAGTGAACCTGCAACCGTTGTAATATAAATTTTGAAATACATCAATTATCAAGATATTGTTGGACGTCCTTCTAATGGATTTGTTTACACTAAGACAATCATTGATTGTTAGCATGTCACATAGCATGTATATATATAGATAACAACAACAATGACATTGATAAAACAAAACCAGAGAACGATATTGTTGTTCTTAGCAATGATGTTGATGGTTCTGGTTCACATGTCTAGTGCCACCGACAACATCAACACTAGAGTTGATAAGAATGATGTACAACAACACCATTCTACTGTCATTGACTTGGACGGCATCAAAGAGAAGTTGTCAAGACAACAGAGGAAAAGGACATACCAAATCGAGCAGTTCACTTCAAATCACTCTTTGATCGTTGAACAGCTCGTGAAAAGGAACATGGTGGAGAATAAGAAAGCAAGGTACGACTACCACAACCACATTGGAAGCTGACCTCTAAGTCTTACATCGTACTAACATCCACCTTGCTCCAGCAACTACCATTTCAAATGGGGATGGTCATGGAATTCATTGTTTGTGGCTAATGAACATCAGATCGTCAATCACTTCCCAAACTATGATGAGATTGGAACAAAGAGTGGACTGACTACCAATCTCAACAGACTCTATCGTCGCAGTGCTGACAAGATTGTCAGACAACACATTGAGACATTCTTTCCAAGATCCTATCTACTCAGCAATCAAAGTGAGAGGGACAGCTTCCTTCTTGACTTTTACAGACCAACAACATCGCAACAACAATGCTCCACCTCCACTAACACTCAATCATTGTTGTCCAATAATGACGATGATGTACACTTTCAATCAATGGACATGTCGTCGACCTATGTTTACGCACCTCAACCACATATTGATGGAACCAACAACATTTGGATTGCCAAACCATCCAGCATGGCCAGAGGCGTAGGAATCAAGATATTCAACGATGCCAATCAACTACTCCAGTATACCAAAGAGCATGAACATCAGTTCATCGCCCAGAAGTATGTGGAGAGTCCTCTGCTCGTGATGAATCGCAAGTTTGACATACGTCAATTTGTATTGGTCACCAGTCTCAATCCATTGACCGTCTTCCTCTATCGTGATTGCTACCTACGATTCTGTAGTGTACAATACTCTACTGCCAACATCCATGATCGGTTCGCTCATCTCACCAACCATCAAGTACAGAAGGAGTACAAAGGTGATCATGATATTGAAATTCCACACAATCAATGGTCATTGGAAACATTCAAGAGTTATCTTAAGAAGTAGGTTTGTTGATTTATATACTTCTAATACTCATACTAACCTACTCATTCCACACGATAGCAATAATCATGATAGAGATATCTGGAATGACATGATATATGATAAGATCAAATCATTGGTTATAACTACATTGATGTCTTGGCCATCAGAAGGTCATAGGAATAATAGTTTCGAATTGTTAGGATTCGATATCATGTTGACTGATCATTATCAGCCACTATTGATAGAGGTCAATAGTAATCCTGGATTACATCTTGTGACTGATGTAGTTAAATCACATCATCCAAGAGCAATCAATGACATGTTCAAGGTGATCATGGACAACAAAGATCAATGGTACTCTGCTGCTGACATCAATGACCATGATAGGAAACAACAACTGTTTGGTGATTGGGATCCAATCCATGTCGGTCATCACGATGAGAATCTAAAGACCATTCAAACAAAGTCAAAAGCAAAGTTCAAATCACTCAATGTCCAGACTGTATCCAAGTAGGACATCTAATTAGACAAAGAACTGTTATTGTTGCTGTAATAATAAACAAGTTTATTTGAATTTAATGTTGAGTTGGTGCTGGTGTAGCAGTAGCAGGTGTAGTGGTGGCGGTGGTAGTAGTGGTAGTAGTTGGCTTGAGGATCTGCTCTGGCTTCATGGCTGGGAATAGGATGACCTCCTTGATGTTGTAAGTGTCGGTCAAAAGCATGACGAAACGATCCACTCCGAGACCCCAACCTCCAGTTGGTGGCAGACCGTACTGGAGAGAGGTGGTGAACACTGTGTCGACCAGCTGAGCCTCGTCGTCGCCCATAGCCTTTGCCTTTGCCTGCTCCTCGAATCTCTCGATCTGGGTGTATGGGTTGTTGAGCTCGGTGTAGGCATTGCAGGCCTCACGAGTGTTGATGAACAATTCGAAACGCTCAGTCAAACCAGGCACTGTTCTATGATGCTTGGCCAATGGACTCATAATCTCTGGGTGGTTGATAATGAATGTTGGGTTGATGCATTGAACCTCCAAGAAGTGTCCAACAAGCTATATATCATATGATTCAAGTTATAAGAAGTTAGTAATGTATAACAACGATATTGTTGAACTTAATGAACACCAGTAAGTACATACCTTATCCAAAAGTCTTGCGGTAGTCTTTGGATCACTGCACTCAACCTTGTGCTCGTGACACTTGTCCATCAGGAACTTGCGACACTCATCCGATGTGTATGGAGTTGGGATCTTGCCAATGCGAGCCTCCAAATCTGGAATCATGTCGATTCTGCGCCATGGGGTGGTGAAGTCGATCTCGATCTCTGGACCGGTTGGACCCTCGGGATGGTACTTGATCTTCTTTGAGCCGGTGATCTCCTCGACCATGTTGGACAACATGTCCTCGGTCATGGTCATCAGATCGTTGTAGTCTGCGTAGGCCATGTAGAACTCACAGGTGGTGAACTCTGGGTTGTGAGTGTGGTCAATGTCCTCGTTACGGAACTGCTTGCCAATCTCGTAGACACGGTCCATGCCTCCGACGACCAACTGCTTCAAGTAGAGCTCTGGGGCAATACGCATGAAGAGATCGAGGTTGAGGGCGTTGTGATGAGTGGTGAATGGCTTGGCAGTGGCACCACCAGCAATCATGTTCATCATTGGTGTCTCGACCTCGACGAAGCCACGGGTGTCAAGATAGCGTCTGACACCCTGGATGACCTTGGCTCTGGTAACAAAGTTCTTCTTGATCTTGTCACCATTGACGATCATGTCCAGATAACGCTGACGGAAACGAGTCTCCTGGTCGGTGAAGCCCTGGCCTGGCTTGGGCAGCATGTGTAGACATGGTGACAAGAGGACGAGCTCAGAGACAAAGAGTGACAACTGACCGGTCTTGGTGTAGCCGGGGTTACCCTTGGCACCAATGATATCACCACGACGCAGCAGAGCGTTGATCTTGGTGAAGACCTCCTCAGAGGCAAAGTTTCTCTTGTTGACAAACAGCTGCAGCTTGGTGCTCTCGCCAACAATGTCGTAGAATGCCAGACCGGTACCCTGCAGTCTCTTGGAGAGGACACGACCAGCGATCGTGACAACCTCTGTGCACTCGGCAGTCTTGTCCAGTGGTGTGTACTTCTCGATGAACTGTGGCAGAGAGGTCGACACGTGGAACTTGTGTGGCCATGGGTCGACACCGTCGGTAGACTTGGCATCGTTCAGCTGTCTAGTACGATTCTCGGTGTACATTGATGGATCGAAATCCTCCTCATCTTGTGCGGCTCTATATATTATGTGGTATGTATGAGTGTTAAGACTATGCAACATGAAAGAACACATCAAGCAACAGTAGGTGTGCAATAGTTTGTTCATTCGTTCGTTGGTTTGATCAGTCGTTTCTAATACTTACGGCTTTGGTGGCATGATATTGTTGTTGTTGCTTAAACAAGTGATATTAAGTATTAGTGATATAGTAAGAGTCAACGCGTGATCCTGTGTGTAACTGCTATTTGGCTGGCTGTGTGTAATAATGATTGAATACTCTTCAGATGATTGACATAAGGTGTATTTCGTGGGGAACTCTCTAACTAACTATCGTTCTGGAAAAAACACAAAATTATAAAAAAAAATGTGGGGGATCCATTGAGTTTTATCAACAATCAAGTTGAAGTTCATCTGAGTCTTGGTTACCATGACATAAACTATGGATTATAGATAATATAACAAATGAATATTTGTATTCATCTATTGTCATACTTATATTTATAAGACTAAATCTTCTTTTGATCGATAAGAATAAAATAATCATTCTTAAACTCTATCATGGAGAGTTGATAGTGGTCACTTTTTTTTTGAATTTGAATTAGGAAATTATCCGTTAGAAAATGACATGGCGGCAAGGTAGAGTGATGTTGTGTATTGAGGTCAGGTTACCTTGGCAAAGAGTAACACAACAACTACAACAAACTCAACTCTTATTAATCAAACATATCTATCATATCATAATAATATTTAATTATACTCTTTGAGTTGATCAATCAATAATAGTATCATCAATTAGCAATTGAACAGCAACACAATAATGATTGGTATGTGTAACACAAACAGTGTACTATGTTGACTGTAGTGTCGTGTATGGAGGGACATCAATCATCATCTGACCAACACTTCTCATCCAGACAACCAGGAAAACATTGCCCCAAAGTCAGCACTACTACAACAGCAGCAGGCTCCAACATCATCACTCATCACAAAGTCAATGGTGATCAGACCAAATACCAACGCACCAATCACCGATGGCAGCAGCAGCAGCAACGATCAAACAACACCACAGATCATTGTCAAGGAGACAATATATCATAGTAACGGAAGGACATCATTCAAAGACTATCTTCAAGGTGAATTCCTTGGTTTGGTATGTGGTATAGCATCTTTGTGTCACTTTGATTGGCCAATCACTAACACATAATTATTTATATACAGGGTGGATTTGCCAAGTGCTATGTTATGACCGATTTGGACACCAAGAAGGTGTATGCTGCCAAGATCGTGCCAAAGTCCTCACTCGTCAAGGCAAGGACAAAGAACAAGGTATGTTTGTTTTCCAGATCACTCCCATCCATCCATCCTAACACACAACAACAACAACAACAACAACAACAACAACAATGCAGTTAAAGAGTGAGATCAAGATCCACAGTTCACTACACCATGACAACATCGTTTCGTTTGAGCATTGCTTTGAGGATGACGAGAATGTCTATATCCTCCTTGGTCTTTGTAATCAAAAAGTATGTAGTGACACCACCAACCATTACTTTTAAAATCAACTAACTAATTGTTTGGTTACCAAGACAATGATGGACCTCCACAAACGTCGTAAGATCCTATTGGAGGCTGAGGTGAAGTACTATGTCTACCAGGTGATACAGGCTGTTAGGTATCTCCATCAGAACAAGATCATTCATCGTGATCTCAAGTTGGGCAACCTGTTCATCAATGACATGAGCATCAAGCTCGGTGACTTTGGTCTATCAACACGTATCGAGCATGATGGTGAAAGGAAGAAGTATGAACCTCACATCCCATGAACCTCACGTCCATCCATCCACAAACTCACACTCACTCACCTATCTTCCATGTTTATAGGACCATCTGTGGCACACCAAATTATATTGCACCAGAGATTCTGGAGAACAAGAATGGACATAGCTATGAGGTGGATGTTTGGTCGATTGGAGTGATCATCTATACACTACTCGTTGGTAAACCACCCTTTGAGACATCGGACGTGCGCAACACCTATCAAAGGATCAGAAAGAATCAGTACTCCTTCCCAGAGGACCACAACATTGCCGAGTCTGCCAAGCAATTGATCAACTCTATTCTTACTCCAATTCCAGGTATGTATATTATATATATATATATATATATATATATATATAACCAATGGACCTATATTAACTCACTTGAACGATCAGAGAAACGACCAAACTTGAACCAGATACTGGAACATGACTTCTTTACACTGTCCAGTATACCAAAGTACCTTCCACCGACTGCACTCATCATGGTGCCAATCATCAGAAGCACACCATTGGCCGAAAATACCAATATTGTAAATCAACAACGTCCACACATGACTAGCAACAACGTATCACCAAGCAAGCCTCCACGTGGCCATCAATCACCTTTGAAGAAGCTACCCTCGTCCGTTGTCGCCGCTGCACAGATGGTTACACTCTCACCCAACTCTCAACAGAAGCTGTCAGACATTGAAAAGGATGACTTCCACTTTAGGAAGTTAAGGCGACTGGAGAAAATGAAGGAGAATGGTATGTTTGGGTTGGGTTTGATTGAATCACCAACAATATCTAACTTGTCATGACATTATTTAGATCTAAAGATACAGTTGTTGAAGCAGAAGATGGTAGATACTACACAGCAGCAACAGCAGCAGCAGGAGGTACACAGGAATGTAGAGAGTATCCAGACTGGTATAGCCAAAAGCCATATATCTGAACCAGTGCCAAAGGAACAATCAAGGCCTGCCACCACTTCCACCACCACCACAACAACCGCCTCAACACAACAGATTGCCGGTAGCCTACCAAGATCACTGGTGTTTGTCGATAACTATGCAGACTTTTCCAACAAGTATGGAATTGGATATTCATTGTCCAATGGTTCATATGGTGCTTATTACAATGATTCAACCAAGGTCATCAGCTTCCTAGACTCTGGGTATGTATTGACCAAACAACTACACTCTCGCCAACTCAAGTTATTAACCTCCACACACAAAACACAAAGACTTGCTCATTACATGGAGCATGCCAAGGGCACAGAGGGAGATGGACGTCGCATACTCAGCACACTTGAGACTCATCCACATGACACACAGAAGAAGCTATCGTTGGTGAAATACTTTTCCAACTACTTCCAGGACAAGCCAAGGCAGCCAAGCATACTGATCAATGAGTTGAAACAACGACCAAACAGCACAGCCGACATCAACAATCCAGTCTATGTCAAGAAGTGGATAAAGACCGCCAAGGCCATTGCATTCAGACTTAGCGACAAGACGATACAGGTGAACTTTATCGACAAGTCAATCATACTGATCAACAGGGACCAGGTGGTGACCTATGTGGCCAGCGACGAGTGCACCACCAAGACCGACCACCTAAACAACTTTTTGTCGAGCTCACATGATGGCAAGATCATCAGTAGGATCAAGTACGTCAAGGAAATCCTAATCAATCTGTACCACAAGAGACCCCAAGACGACATGATCTAATTACAGCGTCGTTGATGACCATAATATTATTAATATTTTATATATATAAATAATTATAATTATTGTATTACGAATCCCTGGTCTTTGCACCTCATTCATGGAATTAAACGAGTAGTGACAATGTCGAGGACCTTGGTGATGTCCAAGGATTGATCGGTCCAAATCCACATACTAGTATTCGTCAAACCATCCTTTTTTGATAGATGATTATCCTAAAAAGGAAAAGGGGATCGATGGGCTAGTTTAATTTGTGGTCTACTTTGAAGTGAGTCATTTGATGTGATTACTTACAGAGGTTGATGATAGATAAAGAAAGAAAGAGTGAGATAGTATAGCAACACAACATATTAGTTATATATCACCAATCAAGTAGTAGAAGATGTTCAACTTTGACAATGATGGACGATTGTCTATTCACCTTAAATATGTTGGAATGTCAACGACGATACTGCTTCAACCTTGGATGGCTATGACCATTGGTGTGTTTGCCATACTGACGGTGTTTCGTCTGTATGTCCTATGGACTACACGCACTCTATCCAATCGTCGTGGCTCCACTGGTGGCAATCTGCGCAAGGAGGGCATTGCAGAGCCACTGCAACTGCTCAAACAGATGATCAACACCAAGCCCAAGCGATTCGTTGACATCTTTCCAGAGGAGCTGCGCGAGATTGCCAGACGTCGAGTGTCTGTGCTCAAGGAGAAGGATCCATTTGGAATATCGACCATCTTTCCAATGCGAAGATCAAACTCAATGGGCAACTTTAGGTCGATGACTCCACAACCCACGTCAACCTCACAGAACGTTCACAAGCCAAAGATAACATACTCCTCACCGCTGGGACCATCTGTCAGTATGGAGAACATATCACCGATTGCACTGTCTGCATCATTCCCCAGCACCGATCAACTTAAAACGATACACGAGGTACAGACTCCTCCACTCATCTCTGTCTCGCAGGCTAATTTCGAACCAGAAGTCAACTTTATCGATGAGGAAAAGGCAACGACATCAACTGTCAACAATAGCAATAACAACAACAACAACTCAACGTCAACCATAAAGACTGTCAACTATAAGCCAAGTAACAATAACAATAGTAGTACGCCAACTATCGAAACAGATGATGAGGATACCAACAGTGTCACATCATCAACTGCAATGGGACTGTCTTCAAGTCAGAGAAGTACTCATAGTCATACAAACAACAACAACAATAACAATAACAACAACAACAACAATAATAATAATAATACACAACAACGTAGTAACTTTGGAACTGGTGCACCTTACAAGAGAGTACTTCCGTCCACTAACTATGGTCTCATTGGATTGGCATTGTCAGGAGGAGGTATTCGATCGGCAACATTCAATCTTGGTCTACTGCAAGCACTGGCCAAACATGGACTGTTCCGAAGAGTGGACTATCTTTCGACGGTCAGTGGTGGAGGATTCATTGGCAGCTGTCTGACATCTTTGCTCAGTGAGGGCACACATACGACCGACTGGAAGAACTTCCCCTTCCACTACAGCCGAGGCATGAAAGAAGGAATCCCCCTAAAGCATCTGAGAAACAGTGCCAACTACCTGGCCAATGGTCTGTTTGAGTTCCTGTTGTTCCCCGTCCTGATTCTCCGTGGAATTGTTTTGAACCTCATGTCGATCTTCCCATTCGTCTGGCTGCTTCTGATCTTAGAGCGCAACCTGCCCATCCAATTCGACATTAGCTACTATCTCACACAGAAGATCGCCATGAACCTCCTGATCCATATCACCATCTTCCCACTGATATCCCGACCCAAAGTGACCATCCCTGCGACCATACTATTCCTGTCACTGTACAGCACTGACCTGTCACGATTCTTCTCGACGATCAACAACTTTGAGATTGCCGGCTCACTCTGTCTCCACCTCTACCTCAATCATCCTTGGCTGCTGCGCAAAGAGGACAGCAAGATATGGTACGACCGATCGTTTGGCTGGCTGTTCATCGTTCTGATCTCTGTGGCCTTTGTCGAGTCTCTACCATTGATCGAGACACTGTACGTCAACTCATTTGGTGGCGAGAAGTCATTCCGAATCTATCCACTCATCTCGTTGTTTGGATTAATTCTTGCCGATTCTCTGGCGTTCACACTGCTGACCAATCCCAAGTTGTCACCGATCAAGCGTCTGCTGTTCCACATCTTTGTCAGCGTCATTGGCCCACTGCTTCTGATCCTCACCTACCTGGAGCTGAGTGTGTGGCTCGAGCCAGCGTCGCCCACCTTTGGAATTGGCAATGGTATTTGCCTCTTTGTTTCCCTGCTCTCATTCTTCACGATGGACATCAACGAAACATCGATGCACAAGTACTATCGTGATCGTCTGAGCAAAGCCTACATGTTCTCCATCAAGAATGGTCGTTTCCGTCCCTATGGTGGTGAGAAGATCAGTAGACTCAATCGTCGCTCGATCGCACCCTACCTCCTCATCAACACTACGCTCAACTATACGATCAACAGCGAGCCAAATGGAATGCCAGCAGACTCTCGAGGATCAGACTTTTTCATCTTTAGCCAGCACTATGTGGGTGCCGAGTCCTGTGGCTACCGCTCCACCGAGCAAATGGAGAGATTGGATCGACGACTTGATCTTGCCACTGCCGTATCAATCAGTGGTGCTGCCGTTGGCACCAAGATGGGTACAGCAACAATCCCCACACTGGTGCTCTCACTTGGCATTCTCAATATCCGTCTTGGCTATTGGTTGCCCAATCCATTGGGCATCTTCCTCAGCCATCCCTACCTTGGACGTCTGTTCTACGGTGGCTTTGCATGCTATCACTTGGTCAAGGAGTTTGGATGGACCGCCATGACCAGCAAGGATTGGTGCATTAACCTGAGCGATGGTGGACATCTTGAGAATCTCGGTGCCTACGAGTTGATCAAGAGAAGGTGCAAGTTTGTCATTATCTCGGATTCAGAGGCTGATCCCGATATGACTTTCCCAAGGTATGTTTGTTGAACAGTGGTAGAGTAGATTCGTTATGGACTATGTCAACTAATATAAACACAAACAGCATGGCACAATTGATGAGACTGGTTAGGATTGATTTTGGTATCAATATACAGATCAACTTGGATGACATTAGAAGAGGTGGAAGTGGATACAGTCAGAAGCATTGGACTGTAGGAAAGATCATTTATCAGAAGAAGGCTAGGTAATAATTGAACCACTCCCCCCCATTGATCAACGATATTATTATTTGATCAACCAACTAACATACAATTTGCTTTGATCAATAGCTACTCCAACCCACAGGACAGTGATACAGAGAACCCTCCCAGTGGAGAAGTGGGATACTTGTTGTACATCAAGTCATCATTGACAGGTGATGAGGACGAGGTGATCAAAGAGTACCACTCACAGCACCCATCATTCCCACACGAGTCTACAACTGATCAGTTCTTCACAGAGTCCCAGTTCGAGGCCTACAGGAGTCTTGGCTATCACATTGGTGGTCAATCACTGTTTGGATCAACACATGATCAATCATTTGACGGAGAGGACGTAGAGTCTTTCTTTGAGCGCATCTACCAATCATGCACAGGTGATCTGCCCACGGGATGGCAGGAGAAGCGTGATGACAGTGGCAGTCAGTACTTTGTGCAGCAGGACATGAAGAAGAAGACATGGTATGATCCACGCCTCCGATCAAGTGGGAGAAGATCTCTTTCCACCACAGGTGGTGGTGGCAGTGGTGGTCTCCCGCCCACACCCTATCCTCCTCCATCATCACAGCCATCATCGATGTCTACAACACCTTTGCCATTCACAGAACCACAGTGAAGATACATTCATTCTTCCTTGTTAATTGTTGTATCTGTTATCTGATGAGTTTCACCCAACACAACATGAAATATCACTTTGTGTGTGGGTGGTGGGGGTAATGGTAATACAACATCCCACAGCCGACATCTTGACCCCCACACAAACATATGACACACAATAATCATGTCTGCCCCCCAGGCCCAACAATGCAATTGTAATAAATTGTTGATAATTACCATGGATAGATATAAATATGAGAGTTCCCATCCATTTGTAAATCCATACCAACAACAACAACAACAACACATTATTTATTGTTATAATCATCAACACACAAATATTTTCAAATCATACATACATATTCACAATTCGATCACAACAACATAAAACATAAATAATTACATTCACTGAGAGTGCAGATCAACCAATCAACAACCAAACAACCAACAACAACAACAACAACAAAGTAGTTTAGAACTCTAAATACTATAAACTAAACTAAAATACAATGGTACTTAGCGAGAAAGTAGACAAAAATGTCAGATTGGACCGACACTCTGGCACTGGAACGAGAGGTCTTCCAAAGAAGAGTATGTATCATTTTTGATAGATCCAATCAACCATTCATATCATAATTGTTACTAATAATGGTTCTTTGTTAAAAATAATCAAGATGGTCATGGAAAGTATGGCTGGGGAAGAGAGGGTGAGGTCTATAATGACCAAGTTAACGTACAAGAAGAGGATAAGTGATCAACCATAGTCCTCCACCGATAGGACAGCAGGGTGAAAGAGACATCCATAAGTTTGAATGCTTAATTGCTACCCAACACCTGTTTGTAAATACACTTCAACATCCATTAGACAATAAAGTAATTCATTTGGATGTACATTACAATAACAGACTCTTGTTTTGAATCGTTAGTCTCATCGTTGGACTTGAGAATGGCATTTAGGAGGTAATGGTGACATTTGTAGTGAACTATGATCGACTGATAAGATTAGCTTGGACATTGACGGGCCTCTTTCACTGTAATTGCAGTGGATATGATGTTTTGAATCGTTCGTCATTAATTTTCATTGTTCACAAAAACGAACGAGTCTTGTTTTAGATAATAGATAGACATAATAGATAGATAGATATAGATAGAGGAAGATGAAGTCAGAAGTCAAGATTCAATCAATAGAGGAGGATCAGAATGATGATGACTCTTGGCAGAGTTATGATGAGGATGATGGATTGACTGGTCAAGACGATGTTGATTATCAGAGTGACGATGAGACAATGACATTCGAGATCAAGAGCTATGATGATGAGCTGGAGGAATACGTCACTGAATATGAGCAACTACTGAAAGAGGATCCTACTCTTGGTGTGGAGAGTTCTGATGCTAATGATGATGAAGCTGATGATGCTGCTCAGTCAGGTGACAACAAGAGGAAGAAGAAGAATAATAACAAAGGAGATATTAATAATGATAAGATCAACAAAGACAAGAAAGTAAAGACCAATCAAAAGGAGCGATCTGTCACAGAGAGTACTGAGGATTCATTCTTCATTTCAAACTCTGATACAAAGAAGAAGGCTGTACCACAGGCAAAGGAGTCAAAGAAGAAGAACAAAGTCAATGATGATAAACAATCTACAAACAGCAACGACAAGAAAAGAAAGCAACCTCCAGCCAAGACAGAACAAGTACAAGAGGAGGAGGAGAGTGAGGAGGAGCAACCACAACAGGAGCACAAGAAACAGAAGAAGGAAGTGAATGGATCAAAGAAGCAGCAGCCAGAGCAGCAGCCAGAGCAGCAGCCAGAGCAGCAGTCATCAAAGAAGGGTGATGGTGAGAACAACAACAAGCAGAAGAAGAAGGAGAAGAAGCAGAAGAAAGAGAAGAAGGAGAAGACAACTGATGGAGATCAACAACATCAACAACAAAAAGTGTTGACCATTGAGGACAAGAAGGACAGGTTCAAAAAGATTGTAAAGAATGCCAGTGTAAAGGTGCTGAAGGAGGACAGTGAGGCCCAGATCGACCAGAAGAAGCAAAAGATGGAGTCACTTTTCTTGGGCTCACTCAGTGGTGAGAAGAAGGCACCCGGTGGTGCTCCTGTCAAGGTCAAGGGTAACAGAATGGGAAGTAGAGCTAGAAGAAAGTATGTATACATACCTAACGTATAATATTCATTCAGTCTATTAACAACCTAAACTCATTCACTCAATCACTCGATAGGTTGGCACTGTCAGTATTTGGAGAGGAGTCTCATCACCATCAAAAGGCAAAGGAATCAGGAGGTAACAACAACAAGCAACAGCATACATCTGGCGGCAAACAACAGGTTGATACTCCAAAGGTGGTGATCGATAAGAAATTACATCCATCCTGGAAGGCAAAGATGCTTGCTCAGCAAAAGGTTACCATCGTTGATAGCAACTCTACTGCTAACGATGATATCGTTACCTTTGATTAATAATAATAATAATAATAATATTATTGCCATTAATTTGTTGTGTTTGTGTGGGGTGAATGATGATGATTCGTGTTGGTGTGGACATCGTTTGGTCAATCAATCAATTCAATTCAATCAATTTACATTGTGGTAATATAGATTTATAGTTTATATATATATAATGTCATTACCTCCAGAGTTACCAGTTAAGATCTATATGACTAGGCTATCACTGCCTACGTCACAGAGAGTACAGTTTGAGAAGATATTTAGGACTCAATCACCTCAGTCCAATTCAGACCTGGCCAATGCCTCTGCTCTTAGAAACGAACTGTTGCTAGTCATTGACAAGAGTTCACCAGAGGCTGTAATAGCTGTATGTTTGTCATTGATATATATATATATATATAACAAACACAATTCAATCACTTACTCACTATATCCACTTATATCATATAGTCTATTGAGAAGTATCTTCCATACTTATACTCAATTGTATTATGTTGTGACACACCTGGAACATTTAGACTCAATGAACATATGTCGTTCAAATGGTCATCATTCATTTCAAAGACATTCAATTCAGGCTACTCTATTAGATTCGAACTTGTCATGGTACTGATGTCACTGGGCATGGCACACTACAACAGAGCCTATGACCTCAACGAGTCATCCAACGAGGACAACTTTGATGACAATGCCAAGCTCATATCAAATCACATCAAGATCGCCGCTGGTATCTTTGAGTTTATCAATCGAGTGGAGATACCACGTGGCGTCCATCAGACCGATGAGTTCCAGATTGAATGTTCATCGAATATGTCATTGGCCATGACCATGCTGTGCATATCACTGGGCAATGCACTCACTGTACGCAAGGCATTGAAGCAGGGCACGTCACATCAGGTCATTGCCAAGATATCATGCGAGGCATGGCACAAATCAGAGATGACCAAGAGTCTTCTAAAGGATGATGCACACAACTACAAACGACTACCAAAGACGTTTAGGAACTACTTGACTTCAAATCTATTACTTCAACATGCCATCACATTGAAAGAGATGGCCATGGCATCAGTTGATTCAAAGTATGTTGCATAGGTTGTGGTGGCTTGTCCACAATCAATATCTTAGACTAACAACACTTCCTATCCTTAGACATTATGGCGTAGGACTTACATACTTCTCACAGGCAATGCCATTGTTATCAAAGATAAAGAAACCAGTAAGTTGTTTGGTTGGATACTTTATCTTCAACATGCCTCTAACTCATCCTATCACAGTCGGATGCCAGACAACAATCAATTGTAACAAGTCTAATGAGTGAGATTGAAAGAGAGAACCAGACATTGACCAGAGAGAATCAAGTACTATACTTTGATGTCAAGGTCGATCCCAAAACACTAGAGGCGCCTCAACCAAAAGGATTGATCAGTGCCACAATGTTCCAGCCTCCAATGCCTATCTTTACTGACATTATTTAGTTGTCAAAGTGGAGGAGCAATAAAGACAAACTCGTGATTTTCGTCACTTGTAACATGACTCGATTCATTCAATCATTTAGTTATTTACTACTACTTTATTGATGATTGCACCAACACTGTACTCTCGTGCATTCAGGCCACTATACTTTACAGCTAGTCGTACAGATACATTGGGCAATGTGATATTCAATCAATTCAAACAGGAGGTGCCAAGACAATACATTCAGACACTCATTGCCACTGGTGCCGTATATCATCGTTCACCTCTTCATACATTCAAATCACTGCACAATGTTCCACTGCCTCGACGACTATTCAGTCCAGATGACATGGTACAACAAGATGCCATGCTAAAGATATTCTTCTTCCCCAGACAATACCCCACCGATCACGTTGACATTGATCGTTGTGTACTGTTTGAGAATGATCAGTTCCTAGTGATTGACAAACCTCATGGCATATCAATTGGACCAGTCATTGATAACTATCACAACAATATCAACGCATTACTTCAACAACATCGATCATCCATCACTTCAATCTTCAATCCTCATCGACTTGACTTTCAAACACGTGGTCTATGTGTACTCATCAAGGATAGCTCATACATCAACCAATTCAACTCAATGCTTAGAAAGAGGAGTATAACCAAACGATACAGAGCATTCTATCAAGGTCCAAATATGATCACACCTGGTCTATACACTCATTACATGAAGCCATCAAAGTCAACTATAAAAGAGATGTCAGATACCAAAGTTGAAGGATGGCATGAGTGCATACTCAGGGTGCTCGAATCAAGTCAATGTACAGTGTCAATGCCAATCAGTGACGTTGAACAAGACTTCCTATCAATCGATATGTTGAATGGCAATTGGAAACAGCAGGAGATGTTGGTTGGCAAGGGCATCAATAGGACCAGACATGCAATGGTACAACTCAACTATGTCGATGTGGAACTGATCACTGGCCGTACACATCAGATTCGAGCACAGATGAGAGCACTCGGACGTTCACTCGTTGGTGATCGAATGTATGGTGGAATGGCCATTCAACAACTAAGCAACGCTCAATTCAATCCCAATGATCAACCATACCCACATCGTTCACTGCACACCTCCTTCATTGGTCTGGTGTCGTATCAACTATCATTCGAATGTCCACTGACTGGACACCAACATCATTTTTCTTTGCTGGATTCAAAACAATAATAAAATTAGCTTCACGCACCAGGTCCCAAAATAAATGACGGTGATGATCATCAAACAGACACCTTATCAATAAATCATAACACACACAACAAACAGATACTAGTATATATATATCTGGAGTGGATAGTATATATATATAAGAATGCCATTCCAACAACACTTGTTGCTGCGCAAGATAATCAATCATTTGTTATTGTGCAATCATAACGATGCTCATGATGGCACTAGTACAAGAGACGACGTGCCCCATTATCTTTTGCTCAATAACACGGAGTGGGTTCTCAAGCTGTCGCTAGTGTCACGTGTCTGGGCCACCAAGGTCATCCCATTCCTCAACATCACCACTCCCTTCTTGATCGAGACTAGAAAGGACCTCGAACGATTTGCACGCTACACATCGGTCGGCGTCTACCACACAGAGGTCTGCCTCAACCCAATCGTCACACTGCAGGCCGCAATCTACATACCCAACTCGATCTACTCGCACAACTACGACGACATCATCAAGCATTCACCAGCAGCCACAACACAACAAGCAGCAGGTGGCGTGTTTGACCGAGTGACTCACTTCTACAGCCAGACATTCTTTACATACCAGGCGCTCTTCTTTAAGTTCCTGTCGTCTCTGACCCAACTGGTGCATGCCACCATCCCGATATGTGGCGAACACGATATATACTCATTAGAGAACTTCCTCAAGGTGTCCACCTCCATTGTCTCTCTATCTCTGCTGCCTCGAAGCACCAACATCATACTGCACTCTCTGACACGTGCAGCACCGCCAAACCTCGCCAAGCTCAAGATCTTTGGATACAACGATGCCAAGGTGAATCTGATGCAGCTGTCTGGCCCTGCACCTGGCCGTCTCACAACACTCAAACTCTACTCGCTGAAGCTAAACAACCTCAACCTTCTTGGCCAGTATCTCAACAATGGAATGCGCAAGTTACATCTGAACAGTGTATCATATGAGTCTAAGCAACAGGTTGGTGCCTTTTTCAGCTCACTCCTGGACAACCAGACTCTAGAGGTGATCAAGATACAACTAGCGCCTTGCCTCGATGGCGAGATACAACCATACAAACCTCTGGCATCTATCGACGACACACTTCCAGCGCTCACTACACTACACATCTCATACGACAGTATGAAGTACAGTCATGTTAGGAATCTCCTCATGGCGCCCAACATCACCAATCTTGGACTTTTTCGACCATCTTCCTCCTCCACCAATGACCCATTCGACAAATTCCACGACAGTTGGCATCTGGATCAAGCCAAACTGTCAGGTGTCAGTGTCCACTCGGCCAACCTTTTGTCATCCACCTTGATAGGCCGTCATCTGAGGAAGCTGAAGCTAACAATGGCGCCCCTAAAATCATTGGAGAACATTCATGCCATCCTTCTCAACACCGAGTCAGTGCTGAACACTCTCAAGGTGTCCAGTATCCAGGGTCCCAGCGACGCATCGATCTGGAGCAACTTTTTCTCTGTCGTGTCAAAGTGTAGCACGCTCAATCAACTATCAGTGGTCGGATCCGATGTCAACGAGGCAAGCGTTGCCCAATTCATTAATGGCCTGCCACCAACTATAAGACACCTTTGCTTTTCAGAGAACATATTCAGGTCGTTCGCAACGTTTGGCGCTCTGATGTGGAACCAAACACTCAAGTCACTTTGTCTCAAAGGCTGCTACAAATTCAACATCACCTCCAATCGAACAATCAACAATGCCCCACTTGTCTCTGCTGCATTGCCAGCAGCTTTGCAAGAGGCCTCAATGATTCATCCACCTTATACTCTAGCAGAGACACCAACAACAATCGGTCAGATCAAGTCATCCATTGAACAAATCAATGCTCTCAACAAACTACACAGTGAACTCAACAACACTTTAAACAACAACAACAACAACAACAACGACAACATGGGCAATCATTCACAATCATATGACAGCTCGAACAACGACGGAGATCTCAGAGACCACGATATTATGATGGCTGGAGAGGGCGAGAACGCAGAGGATGACGATCATCATGCCTACGATACCAATGATCACCCAGGCAACAAATCAACACATCCCACCTTTGGATACATCATGAAGCAGGCATTCTTGGAGCAACTCAATATCCTCAAGGATATTATCACGACCAACTTGTCAATCGAATACTTGTTGATTGATGTCTACATGCCAATGCCTCCAGGCAAGAGCAGTAGTGACTATATCCCAAAGAGAAGACATTGGACAAAATCAAAACATTCATCAGATAACACTGACAGCACTGATGATACCAAGATCGATGACGAAGACGAAGAAGATGATGATACCAACAACAACAACAATAATAACAACAACACAAATGGTCACAACAACACCACTTCACCATTCAAGATGACACAGGCCAAGGAGGACCAAAAGAGAGATGTGGTCTTTGATAAGAACATTGACCACGTGATTGATGATATCAAGCGACACTTGGTCAACTCTCCAAACTACACATTCCAGGATGTGACATTCTATCATCGTCTCGAGCCACATCCAATGTCCAAGTCATCTCGGCTCTATCCCATCATCAGGCCACTTCTCAATCGATCCAAGTTGCTTAGCTTCCAGTAATAATAAAGCTGTTTGCTTGTGTATGATAATTGGTACATCCATGCATATATTATTATAAATGTTGTTCTGATGATGAGGAGGTACTCTCTTTGGCAAAGGCCTCAGGGAATAAGACCTCTCTAAAGTTGCTCAGGAATCCACGGTTGAAGGTATTCTTTAGCTCCTTGGCTGTTGATGGCAATGGCAATGGGATTGTACTATCGCTCATCCTTAAATACTTCTCCTGGTTCTGCTTTTTCCTTGCTGCTCGCTTGTTTAGTGATTTCTCATCCAACTGTTGCTGCTGCTGTTGCTGTTGCTGTTGATGATGATCATGCTCGGATTGTTGCTGGCTCTTGCCTGATGACTTTGCTTCCATCCTCTCTTGTTTCTCTTTGACTCTATTTAGATCGATTTGTTCCTTAATATCTGACCATTTGAATGTTTCATTGGTCGTCTTATTCTTGGCCACAAGGTAGAGGTGATAGCAAAGGAAGTATAGGAGGAAGAGTGATATCACCAGACAGAAGATACCCAATGGGAATATCGATCTTGACTCTGCAAAGAGATACTATTTGGTTTGTGTGATGTTCAATAACCAGTCAGATGATGTAAGGTAATCAAATGATCACTATGATACATACTCTAATAATTAATGATGTTGGCAATGGTGCCCATTTTCCACCTTGAGTGTATCCAAGCTTGAATAAGTTCTTTGTTTCGACAATGGTCAATAGAGCGCATAGACATAGGTAGAATCCATAGAAGCAGAGTGCTGATGTGTTGCCAACGAACCACAAGAAGTATCTCAGATTCCTTTCTCCAACACAATTGTTGACTTTGTTTGGTAGATGGTAGGTAGGAGGTAAGTAATTTGTAATTAAGATGTCTCTTGGATTGACTACATACTCCAAGGACAATGATGATCGAATCTGGCTACACATTTATCGCATACTCTACAATGTTTTGATCTTGATGGTCTAGTGTATATCTGATGGTTAGTGAATGATCCTTCCATGAATGTCAACACACTACACACGATGGATGACACTCACTTTGCTATTCCACAAGTCTCACATTGCTTCTTAACATATAATAGACGATCATATTGATACTGAATGAAAGAGTGTCCTTCTTCACTTGTGATATAACCTGGGTCTGTCACTGAAGCCACAACGAAACTTGTCAATGTAATGATGATGGCCAATACTGATGTGAACTTGTGATAGGATGGTGCGTAATATCCATCAAGATACTGATATGTGTCCAACATGAATAGATATGATCCACCTAGTACCAGTATCAGGTATACTGACTGTGTTTGTTTGTGTGTATCAAGTGATGTAAGTATTCACTTGACGCTCCAACTCTGTTTCCAATCACTTGTGCACACCTACCTGTAGTATTCTATTTGGTCGATATAAGAAGTAGTCAACCAGCTGTGATCCTCTTCTCTTTATGAATCCAGGACATATAAGTGTAAACAGTTTCCTGTTTGTTGTGGAGATGAGTCATTCAGTCAGACGACTGTCAGTTAGTAGTTGATCCACACTGGTCTGTCTCTTGACCATTGTCATCTGACACGACACATACGAACAGAATCGTTCAAGACCAGAGGTCATCAACTCGTGGAGTTTACCAACGATACCATCACGATGATATGATGAGTTACCCATCAGCAGTGTGTATATTACAACTACTGCAAATACAATATATCCAATTATTACATAGTATAACCAATCCATTCTCTATATTATCTATCTATGTGTATATCTGTTCATGACTCTGACTAGATCGAATGTGATCACATGATGTCATGTTCAACCCAGGGTCCATCAGAAACTTGATGAATCATCAAAACCAACCGTCAACACAATGACACATTATATTAACAACATAGTAACCTTCATGGTTTATTAGAGGTACATGCATCGTGAAGTGGTTCTCCAAAGAGAGAAGTGTTATCCTTTCCTGCCTTGGTCCTGGCAGTTGAGAATGAATCGCAGAGTATCTTGAGAGAATCCCTCTGTTGCAAATCGATTTGAGGGCTTGAATGCTGTTGCTGTTTCTGTTGCTGCTTGGGCAGTGTCGTTGATGTAGCAGATGCTGTTGTCACTGTCTTAACGTGTACAACCCAGGCCTCTGGAAGAACTACATAATTGAATCCCTTGGCTGCCAATGCAAACGTGTTGCCAATGATGTCGTATCCAATACCTTTGAATCGCTCATCAAACTTTACAGCCTGACTTTTTCGGATTGCCAACACTGGCTCATAAGTCCACTTGTATGTCGTCTCATATGGATCCTTCTCTGTATACCATCGTGAATAGTTTGTTGCTGAATGACACTTTAAGCATTCTTTGGTCTCTGTTTGTTTGAGTTAGTGATTGAACAATAATATGGATAGACGGATGGAGAGATTGATTGCATACTCGAATTGATCTTGCGACTAGAAATAAGATCGATCAGTTCACTCTTATCATTAGGTAGGTCGAATCGTCCAAGAGAACTAGAGAATGAGGCCATCGCAATGCCTGTCATCTGATCCTTTGGTATCTTTTCTGCATATGATCTGTTTTGATTGATTGATTGATTGTTAATAGGCCTACTGCTACTCATTGGAGCCCAACAAATGAATGAATGAATGAATGAACGATAGATACTCTAGATTCTGATAGAGATAGATAGGTGGTAGGTAGTCGACATCCATCATCAACACCCATTCAGACTCTGCATTCTGAACAGCAAGGTTGCGCAGTGAGTTGACAGGGTATCTGGTGTTGTTTGAGTATAACAGATGTACATCTACAAACTGTGTGACAGAGTAACTGCTTCTTATTAGACTGACAATCTTGCTGACATCTGTATCATTGTGAACATAGATCGCAGCTGATATTGGTGCTCTCCACTTGTCTGATATCCAAGCCAATCTCTCTAGTTGATCCACTGTGACATGTGTCGCTATCGCAAAGTCATACTGGTCTTGCTGTAAAAGATTGATGTGGATGGGTTGGTATTCATGTCTATCTCCAAGTCCTTCATCATCATCATTGTCATTCAATATCATTCATACATCTTGCCTATTATAAAATGATGGTACTGTCTTGAATGTAGCATCTAGACCCAATGGCATTTGAGCTTTGAGTTTGTCACCAGTTGGTTCATCGGGTAGGAAATAGGTGACCATTATGATGACCATACAAAAGATGAGGAATCGTATGTTATTCATTCTTTGTATATCTATCTATATCTACACCTATACTATAACTAGTATTACACTCCTGAGTTTGATTGATTCACCCTAAATGAAATGAAACCAAGATAGTTTGTGTTTTGTTCTCTGTCATGATCTTGGCGGTGGTCCTGATTTGGAAGTTTCAGTAGTTCACTCCTCCTTCCAATAACACCGAAATACTACATTATTTATTTAATCAATTAATAAGATTAACTTATCTCATACTAGATATCCGAATAGTTTGTTTATTTCTATCTGTAAAGGATTAATAATAAATAAATGCCTCGAAGAAATGAATCAAGGTTGAACTGCTATATATATATCTATCTTAATGGACTTGATCACTATCTTAATATAGGACCACTCTCTTGTTTAGCAGTGATTCCATAACTCTTGAATAACTTCTTGGTCTGACTATGACTAGATGTTGTATTTGTATCTGATTCCATGATAACATCAGGAGGGCTATACTCTATTGGCTTATATTGTATAGGTGTACTCAGTCTCTTTGGTCTCTGGTTCTTCTTGGGTTTGTTTGTATGTATGTCTTGACGACGATAATTTAATAAATTAGAATAAGAAAGGTATTCCATATCTTTTATAGTATAGGTAGTGTATTTAAATTATATAACTTTGTATGTTATATATATATTATTTGTAAATTATATTTGATCGTTTGTATTAATGAGTAGTAAACCTGATCATAATGTTTATTTATAAACGTAGACCTGGGAAAAGGAAGGGAACAACCGGTCCATTCTGAAAGGGATTCTGATTCGTTCCAAAGTTAAACAACGCGGAGAACTTTGATTACAAAAAAGGAAGTTTGTGCGCAATAAATTGATCGATTCGATGTAGCTCGTCGTTTGTAAAGAGAACTACGAGTGATACCTTTGTTTACTTTCATATCTAATAGTGAGAGTATTACACTCTAATTGTATTAACATCATTCTTTGAATTTTATATTAATTAATTAGTATCAACCTTTGCTTCAGAATCATATCAACTCAACTCAACTGAACTTAATGAATATTATGGTTGATGGCACTGATGAGTGTCATAAGGTGATTTATATAAATATAAATGTAGTTGTTGTTATACAAATATTACAGTTATCACACTTTGGTGATAGATAAATAGATCAATTTACAGTCCGAGTGCCTTGACTACATCACCCAGGGTATAGAGAAGACCACTGACAAGTCCGGCTGATGTACCAGTGGTTGCTCCTCCTGTGGTGCTTGGTGCACTACCTCCAAGAAGGCCTGAAGTTGAGTTGGATCCTTGTCCCGAGGCACTGGAACTAATTCCGTTGACTGAAGCATTGGTCATTGATGAGGCGTTGAAGGAGCCCATTTGAGTAAGAGATCCTAGGATTGTTTAAATGTTAGTATTAAGTAAAAATTTATAATATAATTCTATACATACTGATGAGAGTCATTGTTATTATTAATTAAATAGTTTGTTAATTGATTAGAATGTTAATTGATTGTTTGTTTGATGATTTAATTGAGATAACAATCAATAGTATTTATACTATTCGTTTCTTGACATTGTACATGATTACTCTGAATTAGCAGACGATGTTTGGGTAATAAATGGGGCTTCAAACTATTATAATACACTATATTTAAGTACTTTGTAATCAATCATGAACTTAATAATTCCATCGAATCGATGTATAAACCCTTAATACTCCAATAATCTATATATTCTTAATTCAACAACAACATACACATCATCATCATCACAATCTAGATGAGATAGAGAGTGAGAGGATGATGATGATATAAGATTACAACTACAATTAATACCATGGACATCCATTGTATCGGGTCAATATCCAATTGCAATATTAGATATAATTATACTTAGTAGGAAGATTGAACATCCCATATTGATTGTTGATCAATGGTGGGTAAGATTCTTTCAAACATATTGGACATGATCAATCAATCTAGTATGTGATGTTAGTAGTGTGGGTGGTGGGTTCCACTTGATCAACTCAACTATTTTAGGATCAACAAAGAGATATATATTGTACATGTATGTACAATCTATCTACCTTACATTAGAACAACACGTCAATATTACAAAGAATTAGATTCTTTCATATTGATTGACTTTGAACGATTAAACCTTGTTTGAATTGAAAACAACTAGAAATAATTATATGATCATTATTATTATCAATCTATCTTTATAATTATAATAGTTAATATTAATAATAAATGAGTTATCGTTCCAGAAGACATTGTTTTATTATTGGGTTGTTTTTTGAAGTGCAAAGATCTGATCATTGGTTAGAGGTGTCAACAAAATGGGCAGAACACGCCGCATTTGGTGACATGTGACACGCAACATACTTTTTTGAGTTTTGTCAACCTCTTTTTTCAACAACAACCCAACAGTATCGATCTCTTTATCCTCTCTTTCATCTCTCTCACATTGTTATCGTTCATAATAGTATTTAGGTTTATATATATGTTTAACAACTCTATGACAGTTATTATTACAACTGTAGTCATTCACTAGTATCATCTGTTTGTTTATTTTTAATAACAACGATAACAACAACAACAGGATCAACAGAAACTGGCAATCAACACAACAACAGCTTAGAGTGAACGAAGGAGTACTTGCAATATATATATATATATAGTTTGACATTTATATACACTATTTAATATATATTTATAACAAACAAATGGAATATCTAGACTTCACAGCATCTACATCATTTGAAGCTGCTGTTGATGATGCATGGGTACTCAATGCCACCTTTCTTGTATTTTGTAACTATCTACATAGAGTTCATCATTCATTAGTTTCTCAATGTCACTAATATCATCAATTCATATAACAGACACTCAAGCAGGTTATTGTATGCTGGAAGCAGGTGTAGTTAGAGCAAAGAATGCAAAGAGTATAATTATAAAGGTAAAGACATGATACTGTGATGATGTTATTGGACTTGACGAGTCAATTACTAACATTGATAACAACAACACAACAGAGTATTATAGACACAGCCTTTGGATCACTTATATTCTGGGCATTGGGATTCGGCTTTGCATTTGGTGATCAGTCGAATCCCTTCATTGGATATCACCATTTTCTATTAACAGACTATCAAAACTTAGTATTCTTTGCCTTTCAAGTATGTTGTTGTTAACGTCGAACCTAAATGTATTGGATACTAACAACTTCATCATCTCATTAGTGGGCATTCTCTGCAACAAGCATAACAATAGTCAGTGGATCACTGGCTGAACGAGTTCACATCAACAGCTGTCTTATATATACAATAGTCATGTCAGCGGTCATCTACCCGCTGGGAGCACATTGGGTGTGGTCTAAAGGTGGATGGTTGCGCACGATTGGATCAAACGGCATTCTCGACTTTGCCGGTGGTATTGTCGTCCACATGGTGGGCGGCACCGTTGGTCTGGTCGGTACATACATAGTCGGCCCACGAATTGGCCGCTTTGATGCAGAGAGCGGAAAGCCTAAGCCGCTTCCCGGCCACAGCATCACACTGTCTACATTGGGCGCATTCATCATTTGGTATGGTTTCTATGGTTACAACACTGGATCCACATTGGGCGTCTCATGGGGACGCACGGCAATTGCAGCGAGAGCAGCAGTCACAATGACAATCAGTGGCACTGCCTCATGCGCCACCACTCTCATCGTCATGAAATTGTACAGCGGAAAGTATGACGTATCAAAGTCGGTCAATGGCTTGCTGGCCGGTCTGGTAGCAACGGCAGCCAGCTGTGCATTGGTCGAGCCCTGGGCTGGCTTTGTCATTGGCTGCGTCAGCTCATTTGTATATTTAGGAGCATCAAGATTCCTTCTGCGACTACGGATCGATGACCCACTGGACTCGGTCCCCATTCATATGGCATGCGGAATGTGGGGCGCAATCAGCGTCGGCCTCTTTGCCACTCAGCACAACATTGAACAACTTCTACGACGACCAACAAACTCATTTGGTCTATTCTATGGTGTAAGTCATTGTGGATGATGTTGTTGACAACATTACAATCACTTACATGCCACACCTCATCATTTACCACCATCCATCGTAGGGAGGAGTCGAACAACTTGGTGTCCAACTATTGGGAGTAATATGTGTCAGTGGTTGGTGCTTACTATTGTCGGCAGTACTATTCACGGTTATGAAACGATTCCACCAGCTGAGGATAGACCCAACAAGAGAATTGATGGGTATTGACATGGATCAGCATGGTGGACCTGCCTACCCCAACTTCCAGAGCATTTAAACGATCATCGATGGTCGTCCTTGACCACATGACGTCGTCACCGTAACCTCCCAAACAAGAGGCCTTGAGCATCACTTCATGGAATGTGTCCGACTACTTAGCATCCAAAGTGTTGGTCGGTGGGGCAAACACAAGTGTTCCACTGTCTGGCTCTCTCTTTCTCTCCATCACCAACACCAACAACATCGACCCTTCGCATCAATTACCGTGGTCGTCATGGTGGAACCTAATAAAGGTAGTCAGCTGTTTGCTGCCTGTGATGCGTGCAGACGCTCGTTGTAGATCACTAGGCTCAACGACTGGTTGTTTTGAGTTGTCGACACCACACCGAATGACAGATCCAACACCTCACCACAGTAGTGATCGTTCATTCATTATCCTAAAGAAAATAAATTAAAATTAATTAATTGTTTTTTGAATGAATCCAACCCCCAAACTTTTTCCATTCACACACTCAACGTTAACCACCAACGCTCACCAACACACCACTAAAATGATGACAGGCAACTCACTCAACAGTCCAAGAAGGAATCATCAACAGCACCATCTCTCACTAACTCACACACACATTTGAGCAACAACAATAAGCCATCGTTTCCATCACTCTCTCTGACATAAACATACAACATATCATTAAACATACATACATACATACATAATACATACATTACCTTGCTACTCTAGTACAATCAACAACAACATAGAGATACAGACAGACTGTGTGACGTCCATATTATCTTTCTTCTTTGATTGTCTTATTATAAAGTTAAACAACAACAACAACAGCATCCCATCATCTTCCTTTGACAATAGCGAAATTGATAGAGTGTCCAATCAATCAATCAATCAAACATCTCATATCCTATTATTATTAAAACAAAAACACCTGTATTATAATTATTATTACTATCTATTAATCTATTCAATATGAATTCAACAATGATCAATAGCGCTACTCCACTCTTCTGCTTTGACACCTCAAAGAAGGCCAACCAGGCAACTGCCGAGAACACTCAGTCCAATGATTACTTTGAGTGGTAAGTTTATCATCATCATCATACTTATTATTATTCGTTGTCATCATATTAACATTCTTTATACACACATTAACAGGTGCAATGGTTTGATTAACCAGCAGCAGCAACAGCAGCAGCAGCCACAAGAACAACAACAACAGCAGCCTCAATTGTTTGACAACAACAACAACAATGTTGGAATGATCCCAATCAATGTTGGATATGCCAATGTCTCTGCCGTTGCAACAAACAATGTCACTGCTCAATACGTGGACATTGGAGGCAATCAATCGCCATTGAACTATACCCCACCCGAGTCCCCAATCCAGCCCACATTCTCCAGTGCTGTTGCCCCTCCAGTCGTAGGCAACACCTACTACATGTCAGCCCCCTCAACCCAGCAGCAACAACAACCAACACCATCGTTCAGCGATAGTATGGGTCAGCAGCAGACCTCTTTGGTTGATGAGATCAATTCCTCTTCTTCGTCACCACTGGTCTACTCAATCCCTCCACAATACCTTCCCAACTATGGTTTGGTGTTGAATGTCCAGAACAAGAACCAAGCAATCCTCCCTCCCCAAGCATGGACCTTGAACAACAACAACAACTGTGGTAACAATGCCCCTGTCAACACTACATCCAACAACAACCTCAATGTCATGAACCTCCAGTTCAACGTTGGAAGAATGAACAACAACAACAAGCCCAACTCTCCACCCTCCAACACCAACAACAACATGCCATTCCAAATGATGAACCAGAACTTCCAAGTCAAACAACAACCAATGTTCAATGACCTTGCCTTACCTTGGACAAAACTCTGATGTGTCCTCTCCAGAATCTGCCTATCTATCGCCGCCAATCTCACCCCCAACCTCATCATTCGTGCACCATCAACAGCCATCGCCCATCCACACCATGCCATCGCCCACCACTGACATGCCAGCACCCAACGACCATTGGGAGACCGGTCTATTCCCAGACTCCTTGCACAAGCAGTTCGAAGTTGCCCCACCCATGTCCATCGAGTGTACCTCTGCCTTCTTTGAATCCTTCCAAACTGGTAATGAGCTCGGCCGCCACAGAGCCTGCTGGAACCTCGCCAACCCCATGCACCGCAACTACTACCAGCCAATCACCTTCAAGATCCCCAGTGAGACTGGTCCCCTTATGAATGCTGGTGCCGAGCTCACTGCCGACAGCCTCATGATGGACATGAAGATGGTCAACTCTCGCTACGAGAACCACCGCATCTACATCCATCCATCGATTGGCTACTCGGGCAATGCCAAACGCTTCAAGCAGGCACCCGAGCTCAATGAGAAGGCTCTGGTTCTGGACGGCGCCGTCTACGATGGCCACTTGAACCCAATCCACAACTGCAAAATCTGCACCGAGTACTACCAAACCAAGTCGTACTTCTCGGCAAACCCACATGCCAAGGGCAAGGTGCTGCTCATCAAGAATAATATCTTGACCCGTGTGAAGGATGGCTCCTTCACGCTCTCTGTGAAACCAATGTGCTGCAGTGGTCACAACTCGCACATTCCACTCTACTTCCACTTCACTCTGACCGATCCAACGACCAACGAAGTTGTCTTCCAGTCTATGATCAACGTCAACGTGAAGCAATGGAAGAAGTCAATCCAGAACAAGAACAAGAAGCAAAAGCTTGACAACTAAGTCGCGTGCCCACTGTTCTTCTTCGCAGCTCAACTAATTACGAGCTACTTACCTACTAGGTATGATCCAAATTGGATTCATCTTGTGTAGTCACAACACCCTCTCTCCCCCAACATCCCCAACATCCACAACAAACAACAAAGCCTTTTTTGGCTTGATCATCAAATCAACCAACCAATCAATCACATTAATCAATTATTATAACAACAACAATAAATAAATAAATTTTGACAGATTCAAGCTCGCAGTGCAAGGGGAACGATGAGGACCACAAACACTTGATTGCTGCTAAGGTTAGCTTGGGTTCTGCAGGGTTCAACGGGTGTTGTGGGTGGATTCTTCAAATATTTGTTTTGGAATCCAAGGTCCGACCCGTGATGACCCTTTGCAACCTCCAACATAGTAATAGCGACCAATTAATACATATATATAATACAACATCTGATGTCTGAGGAGCTAACCCAGTTAATAGTCACCAGAGTTAAGCAAGCAGGTGTCAAATGCTTCTTCTGCGGTACTGAGTTGGATATCTGGGTCTTGGGCAAACACCTGCCCTGATGAT